TCCTCAACAATCTCTGCTAGCCTGCCCTCTCCACTTCCTCAACAATCTCTGCTAGCCTGCCCTCTCCACTTCCTCAACAATCTCTGCTAGCCTGCCCTCCCCTCTTCCTCAACAATCTCTGCTAGCCTGCCCTCTCCTCTTCCTCAACAATCTCTGCTAGCCTGCCCTCTCCTCTTCCTCAACAATCTCTGCTAGCCTGCCCTCTCCTCTTCCTCAACAATCTCTGCTAGCCTGCCCTCTCCTCTTCCTCAACAATCTCTGCTAGCCTGCCCTCTCCTCTTCCTCAACAATCTCTGCTAGCCTGCCCTCTCCTCTTCCTCAACAATCTCTGCTAGCCTGCCCTCTCCACTTCCTCAACAATCTCTGCTAGCCTGCCCTCTCCTCTTCTTCAACAATCTCTGCTAGCCCACCCTCTCCTCTTCTTCAACAATCTCTGCTAGCCTGCCCTCGCGTTTTCCCAAAAAACCTCTGCTAGCCTTTCTCTTGGTCTTCGAATTTTACAAAAGTAATTTTTTCGAAAAAGCATTTTGAGGGAAAATTATAGTACTATCTAGTCTCAAAAATTAACTTTTTCAGGGTAATGGGCGATATTTCGCGACGGCTCCGATACAAACCTTCCCAGCGCCTCTACCAACATATCTCTCGTTCGGGCCGACTCCGCAATATTACTACAGCCACCCTACCATACCCCTAAAGCCTGTTGCAAGCTATTATGCAACTGCCGGGGACGCGGTAAACCCGCTACCACCTCTCCCGGAGCCGGTCTCAATCCATGAACACCAAGAAGCATCGCCTACGACATTTACTATGGCCGACCCTCGGAATCCTACCGTAACCCTGACGCAACCAATTCCGGAGGCGATTATGTTGAGGAATGTTCAAATGGATGCCGAGCCTACCGTAGCTCATGCTCAGACACAGAGGCCTTTGAGGATCAACTTCAAAACGACGCAGGTGAGAGGTTTTTAGAGGTTTAAGGGGATAGTGGCATCTGGAAATTCGAGGTTTCCGGCTGTCACACTCCCTTTAAAACCTTAGGATTATCTAGAATTTATTTCTATTTGAATTTGAATCTATAAATTCTTTTAGTAACTGTCTATGCACCTTTAAAAAAATTCTAGATTGTTTAGAGGCTCTGGTAGGAGCTTTTAAAGGTACAGTGACACCTGGAAATCCGAGATTTCCGGCTTACACTCCCCTTAAACCCACGAGGTTTTTTTATGTTCAGCTTCGCTTTTTTCAGCATCCACAGAAGGTGAAGGTGACGAAGAAGCCGTTGTTGCCAAGTAAGTATTGCGACTAAATGAAGTCTAACCCTAAGCCTAAGCCTTGCCCAAGTCCAAACCCAAGCATAAGCCTAACTTTAGCCCAAATTTAGGAGTCATCCCTCACTTCTCCGTCGTGAAAATCAACGTCTCCGGCCCTGGAAAGGTCCTCCAAACGGCTCCAATTTGCATAACTTGCAAAGGAAAATAACGACCCCCTAATTGATGTAAAAACACAGTTTTTCGCGTATTTATATGTATTTATGGTCTCTTCATTTTTTTTTTGTTTACCTATGCAATGCTCTAACGAAAAGAGCAGACAAATATTTATTAGCCAAATTATGGCTAAGTTGTTGTTATTTTATGAATAAAGCTTCAAAAAAATGCGAAAATTAGTTAAAAACTGATTTTTAAAATGTGCATTTTATAAAATATATTTTGGAATTCGTCGCACAATCCTAAAAGCGATTTTTGGGATTTTGCGATTTTTGAGCGCACAATCCACTTTGATTTTTGAAATCTGCATATAAAACTGCGCCATACTATGCTTCAGAATTATTTTCAAGGCGAGAGAGTGGAGAGACAGCGCGAGAAAAAGGGAAAGGGCAGGCTAGCAGAGATCATTTGCCCGTCATGCTTAGGCTTTAGGTTAGGCTTAGGCTTAGGCTTAGGCTTAAGATTAGACTTAGGCGTAGACTCCGATCCTCCGTTGTCATAATCAGGTTCCGGTAAAGAACGTAATATTGCCGGCAACAGTCATCCACTCCATGTATGAAACATGACCCCCCGTGGGTTCGATTCGTCATATTTGTCGGCGCGTAATATTCGTTGTTACGAGGTGGCAGTGATGCAACATATCGTCGAGCACTTCCCTCCCCTTAGTGTGTCTCCTCTCTTTTCGTGTCCGTTTATTTGTTTGTCCGCCATTTTGTACGTCTCTTTGTCCGCCTGCTGCCGCGTTTTGCCACATCTGAAGAGGCAGGGCAGGGGTGTGAGAATACACGCGTGTGTATCGTATTTGCGCGTAGTCGCGGGGCCCGTGTGTGCATGGCCGGATTTTTGCTGCGGGTAACCCCGCAGCAAGGGGGTGGCGTGCGTGCGCTTGTTTGCGCTTCCGCGCCGAGAGAGAGGAAAAGAGAGACAGAGAGAGAGAGAGAGAGAGAGAGAGAGAGAGGGAGAGAGAGAGAAAGCGAGAGAGAAAGAAAGAATCCCCAAGAAAGTTGCGATTGCCTATAGTTGAGTCGGGTATTTTTAAGGAACCAACAAGCAAAAAATCGAAGAGAGAGAGAGAGAGAGAGAGAGAGTGAGTGAAAGCGGAAAATACGGCTAAGAAATTTAGTTGCGATTATTAAAGCATTAAAACAGCCAAATTGAGACGAAGGCAGGCTAGCAGAGACCATTTTCTGCTCGTTCAAAAATAAAATTTCGCAGGCAACATAGCAGAGGTTTTTGAGGAGCCTGTTTCTAGGCTAGCTGGCAAAGATTTTTGAGGAAAGGGTCCGCCCGTTCATGTGAGAAGCTAGCTAGTATATCATACTTGGCTAACTAGCAGAGACCATTTAGGATGCATCAACATAAGCTTCGGCATGCTAGCGGAGATTCTTTGAGGAAATTAAAGTCCTTTTGAGATTTCAGGCTAGCAGAGATTAGGCTACCCTGGATAGTAAAAAAGTCAAGGGCAGGATAGAAGAGATCTTTGACGACCCCCAACCGGTCATTTCCCGGTACCCACTTTTTCTGCAGAACCTTTGTACCCAGTTCAGGGTCGCCCGGGCGGGCTAGCAGCAGTTTTTTGAGGGCACGTCCCGGCTTAGTAGGGCCCGGGCGCGCGAGCGCCCGGGCATTAAGCCATGTTGTGACAATGGCTTCCGGAGACTGGTCCCGCGTGGAAAAGCTGCGCGCGGGATTGTTTGGGGGAGTGCTCTCTCACTCACTCTCTCTATCTCTCTCTATCTCTCTCACTCTCTCGCTCTCTCACTCTCCCCGGCCCTTAACCTGTGACCCTGTGGCTGGTTCCCACCTAAAGGGCGGACCAGGAGGCGTGAATTTGATACGGTATATAACTGGGGGCTTCTGTGGGCCCGCGCCCTGGGACCCAGTTCCGCCACACTACCCCCAAACACGACGGCACAATGCGCGAAATAGGATGGATTTTTGGGTGGGTTCGAGTTTTGGGTTTTGTTTGAAACCGGTTTCCTCAACAATCTCTGCTTGCCTGCCATCTGCTCTTACTCGACAATCTCCGCTTGCTACCCCGTCCTAATTTATACACAATCAGTACCAATTCCGCGAAGAATCTCTGCTAGCTTGCCATAATCCTTCTCCTTTCAGCCTCGCCCTCTTCGCTACAGTATCCGCCGGGGTCCCCGGCGGGATTCCCGGCCGTTATTTTGTAGAAGCCGGCAAGCCGATCATCACCCATGCCTCAGCGCCACTTTTGGAGCCGGCAGTACCAGGTAGCGAGAGAGAGTGAGAGAGAGAGTGAGAGAGAGAGAGAGAAAGAGAGAGCGAAAGAGAGTGAGAGGGAAAGATATGTAAATCTTTTTTATTGCTCTTTTTTTAGTGGCTCCTCCTCCTCCACCCCCAATGCCAGTCCTCGCCCCACCTCCCCCGCCGCCGCTGGAGGTATAACAATTTTGGAATCAAAATTAAAAGCCAATTTAAGCGGTCCTTCATTTATGATTATTGCTGTATTAAGTTGATTTAGTTACATTGATATTAACTCGAGTTTTTCATTTATTTTTAGGTATTGGCGCCTCCTCCACCTCCGGTTTATGCCGCGCTGCCGCCACCTCCACCACTGGCTGAGGTCAGCGAAAATTTGCATAAATTAATTTTGAGGAAAAAATAGCACATTAAAAAATTACAACAGATTAATTGGTTAATTAATTAATTAATTGACAAGTGATGCAAATTTAGTTCATCGCCCCTCCAATGTACGCGCCAGGACCTCCTCCACCGCAAGAGGTAAGAGTTTGTCGCGTAAAAATTCCCTTGTGAGACGATAATTTCGCTCTCTTTCTCTTTCTCTCTCTCTCTCATCTCTCTCTTTCTCGTTCTCGCTCTCTCTCCCCCTCTGTCTCCGTTTCTCCTTTCTCTTTTGTACTTACTGTTTAGTTTATCGTTCCACCACCACCAATGTACGCTCCACCACCTCCACCACGAGCGCTGGAGGTTAACTTTTTAAAAATTCTTTCTAGAAGTTCTAATTTTTGAATCTTTTGATTTCTTGCTATATTTTCGGTCGTACTATAAACTACAAGATAGAAAATTATTCTTAGGCTCCCCCGCCTCCTCCGATGTACGCTCCTACTCCAGCTCCGGCCCCATACCCAGCCCCTTACCCAGCTGCTACAGTATCCCTGACCGCTCCGGGACCAATTCCGGCTGCTCGCCCTTTTTTGGCACCTCCTCCACCACCGCCAATGCAGGTCAGCAGTGATTTTTGGCTTGATTGGTCCTTGAAAACATTTCCTTAAAAATCTCTGCAAGCCCACCCCATTCCAGCCCGACTACCTGATGCCTTTTAACGAGGGTCTGCCGGCACCGGTTCCGGAATTCCTGCCCCCTCCGGTCTACGCTCCTCCGATGCGTGTCTCCGTAGCGGGACCCCCTCCACCACCTCCTCCACCTCCTGCTCCGCCCGCGTACTATCCAGCTCCGCCACCTCCAGCCCCGATGCCGATGCTCGCTCCTAGGCCTGTTCCGGCGCCGCTTCCTGTACCGCATCCAGCCATGGCTCCGCTTCCAGCAGGTAAGAGATGGTAGATTAATTGGCATACCACAAGCTTAAGGGCTGAAAACATTCAAGTATACACGAATTACAGTGCTCCCCCGGCCAGCCCCGTTCCCCGAATTCATCGAGGGCTCCGTGATCGCGCCGGGACCCGCCGCGCCTCCAGTCCTACGGTACCCCGGAGGACCCCAAGTTCCCTCGTTCGCCGAATTCATGGCACCCCAATTCGCTAATGCTCCGTATCTTGCCCCCTATGCTCGAATGAGGGCCCGCATGATCAAGCACAGGAATGCGAAACGAAACTAGACCGGAAGTTGTATTTGAAATTACGACGTAATTAAATTATGAGGTTTAATTTAATTTATTTATTTCAACGAAATTTTAAAGTATTCAAATTTTAGTTCTACATGTTTTTTTTAAATATACCCCGATACCGTAGCCACATCATCATGATACATATCTTAATAATTTAATTTTATGCAACTTTTAAAAATCAGAAATCTTAGTTTTTTGAAACAGCCTCATTATTATTGAAAAACTAAATTTAAAGCTTATTTAATTTATTTGAATTTAAAATCTTGACATTTTAAAAATTATGACTTCATGCAAATTTAAAAATAGACCCGAATACTGTAGCCATATCTTCAAAAATAATTCTAGTCTAGATCTTTTTTATTGTATGTAAATTATGCTATTTTCTGAAAAGTATTGTATAATTTATTAACATCTCCTCCCATTAACCTCTGAATCAATTTCTGTTACCCCCACACACATATCAGTTGCAAGCCGGTGCTCTGTATTTTCTCGAAATTTGTTTTTATGCTAATTTAATTCAATAAATATTGATCATACTTTCAAATCTAAATTTACAATGCAACGGACAAATCATAAAACGCCTGGTTAGGGTAGGCTTAGGCTTAAGCTTAGGCTTAGGCTTAGGTTTAGGCTTAGGTTTAGGCTTGGGTTCAGGCTTATGTTTAAGCTTAGGCTTTCCTTTTCAATCCCATTAAAACGGGCCACCCACGCTAAAATGGAACTCTCAGCCCCCAATCTAATCGCGCCATAAATTCCCGCCCGTTTTTCGGAGCATTGTGGCATTTTTTTGGGGTTTCGAGCTTGCGTAGGTTGTGATTCAAATCCCAGATACGATTCAAAAAAATGGAGATGGTCACTTTTATGAGGGACCAAGTTTTAGGGCTGCCTTACAATTGTGGTATTTGCCAAAGGTTGACCCGGGGTTGTATAAAGGAATGGCACGGAATGGTAGGAAGTATTCCAAATCCAAGGTTCCGGGTTACTGCAGAATGGCAAATCGGCTATTTTTCTTCTTTTTCTTCTTCTTTTTCTTCTTCTTCGCCTCGATTTCAAGTTGCCCTCCCGGCACTGGTAAGTCAAATTTGCATTTAATTTACTTCAATTGAACTTGAACTTACGTACTTAAAAATAGGTCTACATTTTGGTACTCTAAATTTGCCGAAAAACTGTTTTGCGTAAATTCCTAAAATAGCTCGATTTAAATTAAATTAGGTAGATTGGGCGTAATCAGATTACATAGAGGCCCGTTAGAAGGTCCAGGTTTTTAGGTCCCATAACCGCCGCCCCGACATTCAGCTACAAAGTTCAGCCGCCGATCCGATGGACTTACGGTAAGAACGACCGTATGCCGGTCGAAAACGCGGATATTTAGCAGCCACGGTGGGCCCTCTGGAAGTCCCCGGTCAACCGGCTACCATCAACGCCGCCACCGCGAATTTTGAGGACGATTTGGAGCTTGCTGTAGGTTTAGAGAGAGCGAAAGAGCGAGAGAGGGGAGCAAGAAAGAGGAGAAGGTTGAGCCTATTGACCGTTTCAGGTCTATCATGCTCTTAACAGCAAGGGTATCCCGCCAGCCTACGCCGAGAAGTTCACCCATTCTGGGGTGGTGCCGCCGAAAATCGACCTTGTATTGACTGACAACCCTGCTGCGTGCAAGACTGCCATCGTAATTTTTTTGACCCTTTTGCAATATGGTTTACCAAGCACAGCTACGCATATGTTTACATATGTTTACAATTTAGCCTCCTCTCGGCGGCGTCACTGGTAAAACGCTCACTACGGATTGCGACACTGGAAACCCGTATACGCTATCCGGATCTGTGAAGGTATTATGATCAGAATCAAGGTAAAAATTTTATTGCCACTTAGGTCAACTCCGGACTGGCGATGGCAGAGAGCATTTGGGAAGAGCTGGGTGCTATGGTGAGTTGATTTCTAATTTCGCGGGAGGGCAGGGCAGGCAGAGGCTAGCAGAGGTTGTTGAGGACGAGAGGACGGACCAGAAAAAGTCATCTAATAAATTTTGCAGATCCAAACCGAACTCGAAAAGAAGGGAGCCATCTTTGTCGACGACTTCATCGTCAAGGTCTAGATCCTAGTGCATCTATCTGAATAAAGAAATTCCTCATCTTTTGCTCAAGCCGAACGTGACGCATCCGGAAACACGTAGCAAGAATCGGGCAAATATACAGTTGGAGGTGGCGATCCGAGAATTTAGGTCTCCCGCTCGCCCATGGTGGCTGTAAAAGTGCGCGACGCGGAGAAGCGGAAAGAATGCAAAGAAAGAAATGCACAAAAAAACGCAGAAAAAAATTGAGGATGGTTCGTATATAAGGGAGAAGGGCCATGGGGGTAGGTACATTCCGGCGGTCTCCAGATTCTAGAGATGATCTTCTTATTCGCACTTTTGGGAGCGGCTTTGGCTTGCGGTCCGATTACGCCTGATGGAGGTTGGGTAGTTTCGTTATTTAGAAGGCAGGCTAGCAGCGAGTAGTTGAGAAAATAGAAGCTGTCGGGTAGGGGTCGGAATCTCGAAATTTCGGAATCTCGAAATTTCGGAATCTCGAAATTTCTGAATCTCGAAATTTCGGAATCTCGAAATTCCGGAATCTCGAAATTCCGGAAATATTAGCAGATTCCTGGAAGCAAAACTATTATGTATCCAAATTTTTCAGATACAAATACAAGATTTCCGATAAAACGAAAAGTAGACCCCCTCTAACTCGACGGAGAAGCGTCGGATCGGGATGATAGTCATACCATTCGAAAGCCCTTGAAACGACGAGTTGATAAACACCTTTTTTCAGAGGGTCTACTTTTCGTTTCATCGGAAATCTTGCCTTTGTATCTGAAAAATTTGGATACATAATGGTTTTGCTTCCAGGAATCTGCTAATATTTCCGGAATTTCGAGATTCCGCAATTTCGAGATTCCGAAATTTCGAGATTCCGAAATTTCGAGATTCCGAAATTTCGAGATTCCGAAATTTCGAGATTCCGAAATTTCGAGATTCCGAAATTCGAGATTCCGACTATCACCCAAGCTGTCTATGCGTTAGGGCTGGGTAGCAAAGTCATCTAGGAAAGCCAAAAAAACAATTCCATCAGAGGAAACGAAAGAATTTCTTGGGAAGGCGGTATCTGAATTTCTTCGGGAGCGCTTTGCAGTTTTTTGGGCAGGTGAAATAGCAGAAATTATTTGCGGGGAAGGCCAGTTAGCAGGGAGCATTTGAAGAAAGTAGCAAGGCGACAAGGGATCATTTGAAAGGGAAACAAAAAGCCTTCAGGATTTGCCACGAGAGCCGAAATCAGCCTAACCCTTCGACCATCAGTGCTCTGGTCGGTGGGGGTCGCTCCGGGACAGGTAATTTCGCCACGAACCTCCGGATTTTGTGAATTTTAGTCAGGAGCTAATGACGTCAAGGAAGCAATCATGGACGGAATGGAAGTATCCGTATGTGCCGAGTTTCCTAAAAAACCCCAATTTTTTAGCTATTCCGAGCGATCGCTTCTAACGCTGTCTTGGTCACCGAGAAGGAGATCTCTTACGAGATTACTGGGCTTCCGGTCACTGGTCTGCTTGGGACTTGCGGAACAAAAATTGGAGACGATTTTCCAACGCGTAGGTCCTATTAGGATAAGTCGGGGTGACACTAACCGGAAGAAATCAGACACGACTCGACACACTGGCGCTAAAAATAACAAATCTCATTTTATGACGGTAACAGATAAATTTACAATTTTTTTTGTTGCAGAAGAAAAACAAACGCCGTCGGCTTGCTACGATCTGATACCGTTTTATTATGATGTAGGGGAAAGGGTTTCAGGCAAACCGGTGTGTTTTCATTGCTGGCCTTGTTTGAATATGAATAGAACACACATTGAAACAGGAAAACAGAAAACACGGCATTTGGAAAACGCGCAAACTTCCAGTTATAAACGCGTTTGTAAGCGCTAATACGCGGAGTTTAGACGAGGTTGTCTGGGGATGTCGAATGCTTTCCAGGAACTTTTCTTTAGTGCAAGATGAAAACGGGTTCCTCGATGAATGCGATCCTACTGACCCTCCTGCTCATGTTGCCCTGGAGCTTTCTGGTACGCCTGCAAAATTATCGTACGCTTCGACGTTGAAATTTAGGCACGATCTTCATCGAGCTGACGGAACCGGTGACGGAAATCGTTTTCGCGGAAATTATCGATGATGTAAGATTCAGTCTAGGAATATCATAACATCAAATTTTTGGCCGTTAAAAGCCGGTTTATGACTCTCGAAAAAGTTCTGAACTAGGGACAGTTTTGTAAAAATTCCTGACAAAACAAATTTATCTTGAACATCATAACCGATTTGCAATTTCCAAACCAGTAGGCATCTTCAAAAACTTTTTACCGCAGCGAATTTGCCCTTGAGAGTTTCAAAAATCAATCAATTGATAGCATAGATGATTTACCTTTTTCCAGTTCCTCATCAACCTGGCGAAGCGCAGCGCGAAGACCGACGGTATCACCATCAAGTACTTTGCATAGATAATTTATTTATTGCGGTTTTTTTTGCTTAAATAAATGTATTTTGGGTATTTACTGTTCCACATAACGCACTTTCCAAAACTGAAAAGATCACGTGCCCCCAGGAATTCCATTCTTTCCATAACTACCCGGAAAACGGGAGATGACGCCTGGGCGCGGGGATGGGGAGCAGAAGAAAAGTACGATGGGCCCTATAATTTTGGGGCAAAACGTCGAGATGGGTGTAGGGCAGGGGGGCAAGGGCCACCAATTAAAAGTCCTCGCGCCAGGGGTATTGGAATTGCGAAAAGTGAAAAGTGGCCCCAGTGGTTTTGCCATTTCTGTATGCGTTTTGAGGTGGCGTTTTGGGATTATGGTTTGGGAAATCGAATGCTATTTCTAGACCTTTTTTTTTCGTTGAAAATCCGGGGCAAGCTAGCAGAGATATTTTGAGGAAATCGAGGCTGCAGGTGGGCAGGCTAGCAGAGGTTTTTCGGCAAGCCTATTCTCGGAAAAATTCAGAGCACCAGGCAAGCTAGCAGAGTTTCTTTGAGGAATTTTGGAAAGTCTGCCCACCATTAGCGCTTTGATTGCAGATTTTCAGTACTATGCCTTTCCTAAGCGTTACTCACTCCTTCGGCTTCATCCACCTTCTTCTCCCCCCCCCCCCCCCTTCTTGGGCAATCTGTGACCACCGACCCGTGCAATATCGAGCTCTGATATCACGCAATGCATGGCTCTATCTCCCTCTCACTCTCTAGCTCTCTCGCTCACTCTCTCTCTTTCACTCTCTCCTGAAAATGATAGTTTCAAAAATTCATCCAATTTTCCGCCACCCACACTTCTCGGAATGTTCGATTTCGCTCGTCTACTTCCAGTCATTCCTGAATGATCTCTGCTAGCCTGCCTTCTATGGCCGTTGGTTCCTCAAGAATCCCTGCTAGCTTGCCCTAGGTGCTTCCGTTTCCGCAAGGATCTTGGCTAGATTGCCCCGATCAAAGATCCTTCTAGATTTGCTACCCTAGCCCTAGACCAGTTAGACGTGGCCCTAGGCCAGTTTTCCTCAAAAATCACTGCTAGCTTGCCATTTCCTACTTCGTTTTCAACTCCATCAGAATCCATGCTACCTTCCCGAGCTCCAGAGGTATCTCTGCTAGCCCTCCTCTAGACCAGAGCCTGCCATTTTCCAACTTCCGCCTCCATTTACCCCGTCTCATTCCCCCCTTCACCTCAACCCCCACAAAAATGAGGAAATGTGGGGTGTACGTGGCAGGCCATATTCCAGATCTCCCAGCCCCGGCCTCATTCTCAAGGGCACGCCAAAAATTTAACGACACATAGGGCCAAGGGCCAGCAGAGGGCGGCCACAAGTGTTCTTCGGACGCTGGAGGAGAAGCTGGAAGGAAAGGAGCACGAGGGCAGAGAAGGGTTAACGGCCCCGAATTATTGCCCTTGGGGTGTAGTAGCACGAACATTCACTCGGTCATTGCCGTTCTATTAAAAATTTGGGGTAAAGGGTCTCTGCTAGCCGGCCTTGACGCTATTAGGATTTCTCATGCGCTCTCTCGCTCTTTTACACCCTCTCTCACCCCTCTCTCTCTCTCGCTCTCGCGCTCTTACTCGCTCTCTCTCGTTCTCCCTCTCTCTCGCTCTCTCGCTCTCCGTCTCGTTCTCTTTCTCTTTATGGTCATATCCTACCTTATATAATTTTGGCGTGTATCTTTGTGTGTGTGTGTGGATGTCAGTTTCGAGGCCCGATTTGAGGGCCTTCCCGTGGATAAAATGCCCTAATTCTCCGTCACCCGGGGGAATCGAACCTTCTGTTTCCGATGGCGTTCTCAGAATTTCGATAAAATACAAGATTACAAAGTTAAGGCCGGTTTTATTCATTTTTGGGGGTTCCTGAGGGCTAATTTGCATAATGCGAGAAAATACAAATTTCCTCATTCTCGCCAGTTGCACTCGCGCGTTTGGCTACCTCATTGGAGCTGCCTCTCATTGCCTTTGCTCCCCTTTCCCGTTAGTCACCTCGGGGGATACAAGGGCTGTTGCGCGCGCGCTCCCAAACGTTTCATGGTATAGTGGTTAGAGCGTCAGCCTGCCAATCTTGCTATCGGGGGTTCGATCCCCGGCTATCGTATTTTTTTGCTTTATGCTCGGAATGCATTTTCGAAGTGTATTTTCCTGTAGGGAGGCGCTATTCTGAAGTCAGTCGCTCTAAACTGCGTCGCAGGCTAACGAATCCAGCTAGGCACTGAAACTACCGCCGCAGGCTAAAGATTCAGGGTAATCCCTCAAGCTAGCGCCGCAGGCTTTAGCATGGATTTAGCTGCACAAACTAGCGCCGCAGGCTCAGGAATGAAGATACCCTCTCAAGCCTGCGCCGCAGGCTTTAGACCAAAGCTAGCCGTGCAAGCTAGCGCCGCAGGCTTTAGAACGAAGCTAGCCGTACAAGCTAGCGCCGCAGACTTTAGAACGAAGCTAGCCGCTGAAGCTAGCGCCGCAGGCTTAAGAACGAAGCTAGCCGCTGAAGCTAGCGCCGCAGGCTTAAGAACGAAGCTAGCCGCGCAAGCTAGCGCCGCAGGCTTTAGAACGAAGCTAGCCGCTGAAGCTAGCGCCGCAGGCTTAAGAACGAAGCTAGCCGCTGAAGCTAGCGCCGCAGGCTTAAGAACGAAGCTAGCCGCGCAAGCTAGCGCCGCAGGCTTTAGAACGAAGCTAGCGCCGCAGGCTTAAGAACGAAGCTAGCCGATGAAGCTAGCGCCGCAGGCTTAAGAACGAAGCTAGCCGCTGAAGCTAGCGCCGCAGGCTTTAGAACGAAGCTAGCCGCTGAAGCTAGCGCCGCAGGCTTTAGAACGAAGCTAGCCGCTGAAGCTAGCGCCGCAGGCTTTAGAACGAAGCTAGCCGCTGAAGCTAGCGCCGCAGGCTTTAGAACGAAGCTAGCCGCGCAAGCTAGCGCCGCAGGCTTTAGAACGAAGCTAGCCGCTGAAGCTAGCGCCGCAGGCTTAAGAACGAAGCTAGCCGCTGAAGCTAGCGCCGCAGGCTTAAGAACGAAGCTAGCCGCGCAAGCTAGCGCCGCAGGCTTTAGAACGAAGCTAGCGCCGCAGGCTTAAGAACGAAGCTAGCCGATGAAGCTAGCGCCGCAGGCTTAAGAACGAAGCTAGCCGCTGAAGCTAGCGCCGCAGGCTTTAGAACGAAGCTAGCCGCTGAAGCTAGCGCCGCAGGCTTTAGAACGAAGCTAGCCGCTGAAGCTAGCGCCGCAGGCTTTAGAACGAAGCTAGCCGCTGAAGCTAGCGCCGCAGGCTTTAGAACGAAGCTAGCCGCACAAGCTATCGCCGCAGGCTTTAGAACCAGGCTAGCCGCTGAAGCTAGCGCCGCAGGCTAAAGAATGAAGCTGCCCTCTCAAACTTGCGCCGCAGGCTTCAGACCAAAGCTAGCCGCAGAAGCTAGCGCCACAGGCTAATGATTCAGGCTAATCCCTCAAGCTAGCGCCGCAGGCTTAGGAAGTAAGAAGGTCTCTGAATTTGAAGCTCGCGGCGCAGGCTTGCTTAAAGAAAGAGTTAGTCCATCAAACTTGCGCCGAAGGCTTTCTCTCGAAGCAAACCGCTCAGGCTCGCCAAAAAAGGAAGCTAATCCCTCAAGCTCGGGCCGCAGGTCGCCGCAGGCCTAATAACAAGACTAACAGTATCTTGCGCCGCATGCCAATACCAAGAGTTTTGCATGGGAGATGGGTTTTTCTTTCTTCAAGGTAACTTTATGTGGAAGGGCGCTCGATTAATAGGGCCTAGACGGGATCCAGCGGGGGAGAGTCGCGAAGCGGCTCCTCCCCCGCTGGTCTTTACATGATTCTGTGGCACAAGCAAGCTAACCGGGATCATTTTGGAACGAGATCTAGCAGAGTTCGGCTGAGCTAGTTGTATTCCACAATGATCTCTGCTAGCTTGCCTCTTTGGAACATTTTAGCAGACTTCACAATCCCTTTAAAACAAGCTAGCAGAGGTCTTTTGGGGAAACCATGAATTAGGACTATCTAGCAGAGGTCTTTTGAGGAAAACCAGAGATCAGGGTCAGTCATAACAGAAAATTCTCGTAAGGGGCAGACTAGCAGAGATCCCTTGAGAAACGAGGCAAAAGGGCAAGCTCGCGGAGGTAATCTAAGAAATAGCAGCGGCTAGCAAAGGTCGGGTACGGTTCAAATCAGGGCAAGCTAGCAGATATCCATTCAGGAAAATTAGCCCCAATTTCGCCCCACCCCAACCACTAAAACAGACAGCCGTTATGTGCGGTTGGAGGAAGCCCGAAAGCGTGGCTGGTGGAATTTTTCCACTCCCCGTCTCTGCGTCTCTGAATCTTTCCCCATCTCTCGCTTCCTCGAGCCCCATTACCCGGTCCCGGTCTACCCTCATATTTTGATGGATGTCGACACCTGCGGCTGTCTCCAGTTTCTTTATGCTTCTTCTTTACCCCAGCTGGGACCACTTATGTCTCAATCTCTGCCCCCTATCACTGCAACACCAGCATATGTAGACAGATTTTATAGTAATTTAATGCCATAAGTGGCTAAAAATATCTAAGTCCTACATGGTGTAGGCTTACTTAGGCTTAGGCTTAGGCTTAAGCTTCAGAAACTTCCCCAACGCTCTCTACTAGCCTGCCCTGCAAACCAACGATTTTTGACGCCTCCAAAAAACAAGGAATTTGTTGAAATTTGCCTCCAACGAGGGAGGGCACGGCTGCATGGTGTGCGCCCAATTTTTGGTGATTAGGCGGCCGGGAGGCGCGCAAATTCGGCACTTGGGAAGGGCCCCATCCGATTACCCTCACTTTTGGGCTTACGTCGGTTGCGACAAGGGAAGTAGCCACAGGGCATTGCGTTAAAATCCTGGCGGTTCTGGAATAATCTCTGCTAGCCTGCCATTAGCTTCACTGCCCCTTTAATCCTAAAAACTACCTAAAAATACCATCTCATTCTCCTTTGTTTTTCGAGTGCCATTTTTGCCCTTTCCTTTCCATCCCTCAATTTCTATGCATTTTTTGATGAGGTAAATGACGATAACAAAATAGATAGATCTACAACCTACTCCCATCCCAAATAGTCTCTGCTGGGTAGCCCAGCCATTCCTAAATGATCTTTGCTAGCTGTCCGAATACCGCTTTTTAAAGGATCTGTGCAGGAAAATGTCGAATCAAAAGAGAGAGAGAGAGAGAGAGAGAGAGAGAGACAGGGAGAGACTAGCATAGATTATTTCCGAAGCGGAGAGGGCAAGCTAGCAGAGGCACTTTAAAGCTTCAGCTCCGAATGCAACATTTCGAAAACGTCCTCCGGCCATTCCTGCCGGTCATCTCCTCTTCCCCGATAACTGAATATCATCTAACCCCATATCCGTCTCTCTCTCTCCCCCCCCCCCCTCCCTCTCTCTCTCTCCAATATAAATGTATTTGAGTATCTATCTCTTCCCCCAAAACCTACCGCACACGTCAAATTACGCGGCGCTCCGATGGACGGGCCACTCCTTTTCCGCCAAAACACATTTCGGGGGAAGTGGAGGTATGCGTGCCCCCCAGGCTACATTCGACACGTCTACTCGGGAATTGGGATAAATGACTAGACTTTAAGTTCCTGAACAATCTCTGCCAGCCTGCCCTTGCACCTCCAATGGTCTCTGTTAGCCTGCTTTATGCTTCCATTGCCTCGGCAGCTATAATTTACTCTAACGACCTCTGCTACCCTGCGTGTTCTTTTAGCGAGTGAGAGCTAAATTTCCGCAAATAATCTCTGCCAGCTTGCCTTGAAAAATTTCTGGTGCGTTGGATTTTCATCAAACATTCTTTGCTAGTGTACTTCATCTGATATCACTCGATTTTCTGAGTTTTCCGAAAGAATCTCTGCTGGCCTACCTATCTCTTTCCCCCCTTTTTGGCTTAGAAATTGCCCAAATCTAAAGGTTCTTTGCTAGCCCGCCTAAGTCTAAATTTCCACTTTCCAAAGAATCTCTGCTAGCCTGCCCTTCCTTTGCCTGTAAGAACGTCTTTTTAGAGTTTCCCCAAAGGCGTCTGCTAGTCTGCCCAGCTTTATAGCGCCCCGAGTCCCCGATTCAAATTCCAGAAGTTCGGGGCCGATGCCAGGGGGTGGAAGGCAAAAGTCAACGTCCCCCAAATTTCCGGGGCACTGCTGTGGACATGCCACACACGTCGCTTGCAAAAGTGTCTCGCTTCTAGCTCCCCCCTTCCGGATATGGAGGTGAATTTCAGGCCCCGGGGCTACATTCGAGTGGATGTTGATCTTGGGCTAGTCGCTGATCTCTTTCTCTCTCTCTCTCTCTCTCTCTCTCTCTATCTCTCGCTCTCTCTCTACCAAGCTAGCCGAGATTATTTAAATTCACCCACATTTTCGGCAAGTCATCCCCAAAGCACGGCCTCATAGCCGCACCGCTATAATCTCATTATTCTCTCCTATCTTATGCTGAGGAAGTGGTCAACGATCTTCCGGAGATCCAATAAAGCCCTCTAACACGAGGAAGATGCATAAAAACAGCCTCCGAAAGGAGCTCTGCTAGCTTGCCCTATCCAGAACCTCCAAAATCATCCCTGCTAGCTTGCGATAAACGCTAGGACCTCCAAAACGGTATCTGCTAGCTGGCCCTAACCAGTAGGGCTTCTTTAAATTGCTCTCCTAGACGCCCTAGCCTCAAAGATTCTTAAATGGTCTAGGCTAGGATGCTCTCTCTCTCCCAAATAATCTCGGCCGGCTTACCTGGCTTTTAATGCCTCCCAAGGTCTATTTCAGCGGTCAACACTTCCGAAACACCTCTCAAGGAGTCTCTGCTAGCCACCCCCGCCCGCTAAAGCTTCTCAAAAGATTTCTGCTAGTTTACCGTACCCTCTACCAATTCCCTAATAACCTCTGCTAGCCTACCCTAACCCCTTCCTTACATTTATGCCATTTTCTGTCAGTATTTACTATGAACGGGAGTGCGAGGAACACCAGACCGCCCGCCCATTCCCGGGTTATGCCATCGCGATGAAAAATTGATAAATATCCCCCACACACATCTCGGGCTTTTTTCGGGTTCGGCTTTTCCGTTATTAACAAATGACGGGGTTGTCAGGAGGATAGTGCAACTGAATATAGCCAGTTTATGGTGGTTTTAATAATTTTCATATAGAGTTTCAAGCTTGGAAGGTTTTATAATGATCTTTGGCGTGTTTCTAGTGGTTTCCTGCTTGTTCTGGTCTTATTTTCCGTTATTAACAAATGACGGGGTCGTTGGAAGGTAGTGAAACGGAATATAGCCAGTTTTGATGGTTTTAAACGTTTTTAATTAGTGCTCGTAACTGAAAAAGCCGGAGAAAAATGTTCTTTATGTTTCTCGTATTTTCCTGCTTTTCTTCGTCCTCTAATTTCATGTCGTAAGCGCCTATTCTATTAATCGTGTTTTTCATGGCTTTTTGAGCTGTTTTTCTTTACCTTCTCCGTTCAAATAGTCAAAGATTTAATATCGTAAGACATCTTAAACCTTGTTATAATTTTCTGAATATTTTCGAACCCAAAAAATGCCACCTTAAGCCCCGAGACGCACACACACACACCGGAACCAGGCTCCGTTGGCCCTGGTCAGGAAGTCGGGGGCCGAGGGGGCCCAGTTTTTGGTCGTTTTTGCACACCTCTTGCGATTTTGTGTGTTACTTTTTGAATTCCTAGGTTGTGGCTTAGGCTTAGGCTTAGCATTTCTTTATCTTTGCCTACTTATTCGTTTTCAATGCTTGAAAGTATATTACCAAGCCAGACAATCGAATTTTTTCCATTTTCAGAATGCGATTAACAGATGTGCTGTTAACAAGCCTTTTCACTACATTATCACTTTCCATAGTCATCAATAAAGACTACGATCTGGTAGATGAGGTTATTGATGATGAGGTAAGATTCGGCTTATCGAGTAAAGAGATGGTGGCAGCTAGTTATCAAGAAAAAAATCAATATGTTTAGCGCTTCCAGCACACCCCAACGCAAACAATCTATCGCCAACCCATCGACGAGCGCTTCAGAATACATGACGATGACCACAGATTTACAAGAAGACCGGTAGGTCTAAGGATCTCAGCTAGCCCGCCCTCTCGACTTTATCAACAACCTCTGCTAGCCTGCCCTCTCCTCTTCCTCAACAATCTCTGCTAGCCTGCCCTCTCCTCTTCCTCAACAATCTCTGCTAGCCTGCCCTCTCCTCTTCCTCAACAATCTCTGCTAGCCTGCCCTCTCCTCTTCCTCAACAATCTCTGCTAGCCTGCCCTCTCCTCTTCCTCAACAATCTCTGCTAGCCTGCCCTCTCCTCTTCCTCAACAATCTCTGCTAGCCTGCCCTCTCCTCTTCCTCAACAATCTCTGTTAGCCTGCCCTCTCCTCTTCCTCAACAATCTCTGCTAGCCTGCCCTCTGCTCTTCCTCAACAATCTCTGCTGGCCTGCCCTCTCCTCTTCCTCAACAATCTCTGCTAGCCTGCCCTCTCCTCTTCCTCAACAATCTCTGCTAGCCTGCCCTCTCCTCTTCCTCAACAATCTCTGCTAGCCTGCCCTCTCCTCTTCCTCAACAATCTCTGCTAGCCTGCCCTCTCCTCTTCCTCAACAATCTCTGCTAGCCTGCCCTCTCCTCTTCCTCAACAATCTCTGCTAGCCTGCCCTCTCCTCTTCCTCAACAATCTCTGCTAGCCTGCCCTCTCCTCTTCCTCAACAATCTCTGCTAGCCTGCCCTCTCCTCTTCCTCAACAATCTCTGCTAGCCTGCCCTCTCCTCTTCCTCAACAATCTCTGCTAGCCTGCCCTCCCCTCTTCCTCAACAATCTCTGCTAGTCTGCCCTGACAAAACGAGGCAAAATATCCAATTAGCGTGCCTTCAACCCGCCAAAACGTCACAGTCGCCCCTCGGAAAACGATTGGCGATCGGTAAATACAATTGTTTGAAATTTTAAGACTCTTAATTTTCATTTTATCTTTGCGGTGCTCTAACAATTACCGTTTGCGCGTTAATATTACATTCTATAATCCCGTTGTTAAAACTGTTATACCATTTTCCTCTATCTTTTAGGCGGTTCGCAAGCGGGTAAAGGCCAAGCTGACAGTGGAGAATGTAAATTTTTTCTAAAACATCTTAAAAATCCCCTATTCATTTTTGCTGCTAATCTATCTCGGTGTGGCGCTAATGTGAAAATTTGCTCATTTAGCATTGCTGAACAAAACACAGAAAAAGCTTTCAGCCCAATTGTACCCGAGACACGGCCATCATCGACAAGCTGTTGAACGATACGGGCTACAACAAATTCCGAATACCCAGTAAGTGAATAGAAAGAGCGAGAGAGAGAGAGAGAGATAGAGCGAGAGAGAGAGAGAGAGAGAGAGAGAGAACGAGATAGAAGGAGAGCGAGAGAGAGAGAACGAGAGCGTGATCGCCAAAAATCCAACGCTCAGTAAATTGTTCAGCTGATGAAGGCGTGCGGGTAATTGTCGAATTCTGGATTCAAGCCATCGAATCGATCAACGAGATTACGAATGATTTTGAGGTAAGCTCAGGCTTAGGCTTAGCCTTCAACCAGCCATTTAGATGGACATCTACATTAATGAAATGTGGATGGACCCGGCTCTGAAATTCGAGCATCTCAACCCGTGCAAGCAGAATTTGTCGCTCAGCTATCAGGTTTGCGAGCTTAAAATTGACTAAATCCCGAACTTTGCATCGAAAATTCGTAAGAAAGTAGCCAAATGGAATTTTTCAGGTTTTCGATCGCCTCTGGACACCGAATAGCTGCTTTATCAACTCGAAAGTGGCCGAGATTCACGACTCGCCCTTCAAGTATCGTGTCATTTTCAATTTTGCAAGCCGATTTTTAGAAATGTTTTTTTGATGCTCTATCCGAATGGGACGGTTTGGGTAAATTACGTAAGTTAGAAGTTTTCTCGATTGAACGAGAGCGCGAGAGAGAATGAGAGTGAGAGTGATAGAGAGGGAGAGAGATGACAGGCTAGCAAAATTATTGAGGAATTTATCGATTTTTAGAGAACCCGAGTCAAGGGGCCCTGCTCACTCGATCTGACACTCTTCCCGTTGGATCAGCAGAATTGTAGTTTGATATATGAAAGGCTAGTTCTTCCCTTTAATGAAAATTTACTTTTGTTGGTTTTTAGCTTCAACTACAACAACCAGGAGGTGCAAATGAGGTGGAGCACCGACGCGGGTGGAGCTGTTCGGGTAAGTAAGCCTAAGCCTAAGCCTGAGCCGACGCTTAATATTTTTAACACTTATAAGCCATTATTTTAGAAACTCGTCGACATCGTGCTCCCAGATTTTGACCTTGTCAATATTCTGACTGAGCATGTGGCAGAGGTAAGTTAAGCTCGTCAAACGAATTCCTGGTTTTTCCAGCCCTACCCCGCCGGGATGTGGGACGAGCTGCACGTGGTGCTCACGTTTGAGCGGCGCTACATTTGGTACTTTATGCAAGCCTACCTGCCGACGTATCTCACTATTTTTATCAGGTACGTCAGGGCAAGCCAACAGAGTTTTTGACAAAAAAACAGGCCTTTTATCCAGTTTTTTTAGCTGGATCAGCTTCGCTTTGGGACCGAGAGCCATTCCGGCAAGGACAATGTTGGGTATGTATCTGGCTTTTCCTTCCTGTATCTCTACCTCTCTCCCTCTCTCTCTCTCTTTCTTTCTCTCTCGCGCTTTCTCTCTCTCGCTCTCTGTCTCTGTTTCTCGTCTCTCGCTCTTTCTCACTCTCGCCTACTTTTTCAGGAGTCAACGCCCTCCTGGCTATGATTTTCCAATTTGGCAACATCATGCGAAATCTCCCTCGTGTATCCTATATTAAAGCAATCGGTAAGTTAGGTACAACACCAAAATTATTTGGATTTTAGACGTCTGGATGCTCGCCTCGATGACGTTCATCTTCGCCTCTCTGGTGGAGCTGGCCATCGTCGGGTTTATGGTAATTTGCTAAAAGATGAATCCCGCTAATTTGCATATTTCCAGGTGAAAGACGAGATGCCGGGAGCAAAGAAGAAGCGGAAAAGTCTCTGCGTGCCAAAGGTAAGTCCAGAACGAAGTTGGCTCGGGCTCCGGCTCAGGCTTTGGCCTAGGTTTAGGCTTAGGCTTAGGCTTAGGCTTAAGCTTAGGCTTAGACATAGGCAAGCTAGCAAATCCGATTGAGCAACAGCTCCTCACCCCTCCTTTTCAGCTGGTAACCCCCCTGTTGCAGCTGGACCACTTCGAGACGAACAACAACGGCAACTTGATACGCGTCGACAAGCGGTTCATGTTGCCACTTGATCGAACTTGTGAGTCGTTTTAAAGGGGTTGTGACAGCAAAAAAACAACCGAATTTTTGATAAATTCTTCTGTTTAGCCGGCTTCACGTGGCGCTTCTACCTTCCTGATCTCGGAAGCTGGCCACCAGAGAAAATTGACAAGATCTCGAGTGTGCTCTTTCCGACAGCGTTTGCCATTTTTAATGTAGGTTCTGAAAGCCGAAAACTTAACGTTCAGGCTTAGGCTTAGGCTGGGCTTAAGCTTAGGTTCAGCATCGGATTAGGCCTCGGCTTAGGCTTAGAGTTGGCTTAGGCTTCGGCTTTGACTTTGAACGTATCAACGACAGCCCCCGAATCTTACTTTTCAGATCGTGTACTGGACCTACTACTCCTACAAAAAAGTTCAACAAGCTTTAGTGCATTAAAGTTTCCACGTTTTCCCCGAATTTCCGCCTCAAATTTGCATATCCGCCCCCCTCGTTTTTCCCGCCCACAACGCCAATATGTGATTTTATGAATCTTTGTTTATTTTTAATGACTTTAAAAAATTCCACAACCATCTCTGCTAGCCAGCTCGTCGCGTTGAAAATATTGTATGTAAATTAATTTGTCATCCCGGTTTCCTTGGCTTTCAAATTGTACGTTAATTTCTTGACGTCTCCTCCTATCGCTTGCCTGTGGTTTCGAAATGTGCCTCAAATTTTTGTATATTTTCGAACACTGATCATTTTTGCTGCTTGAATTTTTGGTGCTTACGTTATGATGATAAAGAAATGTTTCTCAAAACCTGCGTTACAGGTCTTGGCTTCGGCTTAGGCTTCGGCTTAGGCTTAGGCTTAGGCTTAGGCTTAGGCTTAGGCTTAGGCTTAGGTTAGGCTGGGACTTAGGCTTGGGCTTAGGCTTAGGCTTAGGCTTCGGCTTAGGCTTAGGCTTAGGCTTAGGCTTAGGCTTAGGCTTAGGTTTAGGTTTAGGCTTAGGCTTAGGCTTAGGCTTAGGGGGCTTAGGCTTAGGCTTAGGCTTAGGTTTAGGCTTAGGCTTAGGCTTAGGCTTAGGCTTGGGCTTAGGCTTAGGCTTAGGCTTAGGCTTAGGCTTAGGTTTAGGCTTGGGCTAGGGGCTTAGGCTTAGGCTTAGGCTTAGGTTTAGGCTTAGGCTTAGGCTTAGGGGCTTAGGCTTAGGCTTAGGCTTAGGCTTAGGCTTAGGCATAGGCTTAGGTTTAGGCTTAGGCTTAGGCTTAGGGGGCTTAGGCTTAGGCTTAGGCTTAGGTTTAGGCTTAGGCTTAGGCTTAGGGGGCTTAGGCTTAGGCTTAGGCTTAGGCTTAGGCTTAGGCTTAGGCTTAGGCTTAGGCTTAGGTTAGGCTGGGACTTAGGCTTGGGCTCAGCTTCCAGGGAATCCTTTTAGTTTCCAATACTCTCCGCCCGTTTACTACATCGTAAAGCTCCACCCGGCCGGAGCTCAATCCCGCAAATTGGGCGCCCCGGAAATTTTTGGCTTTTTCCATTCCTGCTCCAGCTTCTTGCTAAATCCAAGAATTGAGTGTCTAATCCGGAAAAAGTACATTTTTATTAGATGCCGGATTTGCTTAATTAAAATATTGACGGAACATTGTGCTGGTGACAAAAAGGGGCAGATTATAGGCTGCTGAAGCGGGCAATTTCCCAATTCTGGGTGTTTTTGTGATATTTTTTGATGCGGATTGATAATTTTCGGGTTGGAGCAGAATGTTTAGGAAAATATCCCCTTAAGCGCATTTTTCGATGCATGCATCTCTGCCACAAATCGTCTCTGCTAGCCTGCCCGAAAGCTCTGAACCGTTGCTTTTCTTTCGGCATACTGTAGCTTTATTTATTGCCCTCAAATAATTGCCGTAATAAATCCTGACACCAAGGCCATATTTTGGCCGCTTTTTTGGGTAAGCTATTGCCCGTCCCTCGACCTGTGCGACCCTGACAAATTGGGTTTATATCGCTTGCGAAAAAACTGGGGGTGGTCCCCGGCAGCTGACCCTGATCGTGGGGTTGGAATTTGGAAAGCTATGTCCAATCCGACCAGTTCTTGGGCAGTTTCCATGTCTTTCGCTATTATGTTCTTCTTAAGGCTAAGTTTTTCGAAGTCGGCAGGCTAGCAGAGATCATTTGAGCAGATTTTAAGTTAAAGCGGCTAGCACGGCCAACTTTGGAGGGCCGAATCGCTAGAGAAAGCTAGCAGAGATTTTTTGACAAGTTTTCGAGGTAGGGCAAGCTAGCAGAGAATCTCTCAAGAATCGCACTAGGTCAGAGGCAAACTGGCAGAGACCCTTTAAGGCGCCTAAGCAAACCCTTTAAGGCCTCAAAAATCCCTTCCCCCTACCACCACCCCATCCAGGCTCACACCATCCTATCCTCTTCCTCTCCAAAAAATGGAATAAGGGGTAGGTGGAGGGAGAATGTCTGCCTGGGTGTGTCTATGGCTATGTGACGAGTCTCCCCCCTCTCGGTCTCCCGGGGCAGTTAATCTCCTTTTGGGGTGTGAAGGGGGGACCCAGTTGTGGGTCTCCTCTCCTGGTGCTCAGGGCCCAACCGATCGTGTCGTCGCGCCCATTAATTTCCAGCCCCGTTTCATTGGGGGGAAACGTTTTTTTGGGTTCAGGCGTTTTGGAGAAGATCTTTGACATCTGGCTCAAAAAATGCTGAGCTCAAGCCTAAGCCTACGCTTAAGCCTAAGCCGACGCCAAGGCCTTTCATTAATGCTTAGACAATAATCATCTGGTCGATCGGAACTTTCCCAAATTCTCTCTGCTAGGTTGTTTCGGAAGCGAGCTAAGCTATAAAAATTGGCTAAATGCATCTTTAAATTCCCCAATAACCTCTTCAAGCCTGCCTCAACCCCATTTTTTCTGGTGCTTAATTCTCAAATGATCTTTGCTAGCTCCCACTCCTTTCGATAGTTCGGCTCGGAGACAGAGAGAGAGAGAGAGAGAGAGAGAGAGAGAGAGAGAGAGAGAGAGAAATAGAGAGAAAGGGAGAGAGAGTGAGATAATGAGAAACAGCTGATTTCCCATTCCCCAATGATCTGTGCCAGCCTGCCTCCCAAATTCCCTTCCTGATCTCCTCGATTGCCAATTTCGATCGTACGGCTTCACCTGAACAGACGTCAAACCGGATGAACTTTTGAGGACCAAAACTTGAGAGAGAAAGAGAGAGAGAGAGCGAGAGAGAGAGTGAGAGAGAGAGAGAGCGACAGCTAGTCTAGTTTGATTTCCGGGGTCTCTGCATATCCAGCCAATCCGCCCCTCATTTCCTCCTTATTCCGATCGGCGCCTTTTTACGGTGGAAGCCATAGTAGCGGTGCGTACTGGCTGGCTGTTATGTTGGAGGCTGTGGTATTTTGGATCAAACATCCGTTTCTTTGAAGGGCCGTGAAGTTGAGATGGGCCATTTTCCGCAATTATCACTGATAGCTCGCCTGAACTGGATGACTTTAAAGCCTTTTGAAGCCCATGATTTGGGCTTAGGCTTAGGCTTCGACTCAATCTTCCTCTGAATCCTAACTTCCGGCAAATTTCACGTAAAGGTACTGCTTATCGTATTTTTCTTGCTTTTGCATGTCGTTAGCCTTATTTTAGCCCTGTCCGGAAACTGCGGAAACGAGCCATTTTACGTAAAAATTTCCTAAAAAAGGGCTGATCCCGACCAGATCCATGCATCCGATGGTGGCTAGGGACAGCTTTTTCCCTTTATTTATGTTAGTGGCTTTGAAAAAGGTCTTAAAAGATGGGTTCAGAATAAACTAGCCCGCCACGGCTCCCATGTGGAATGCATTTCCAAGTGGAACGGGTCCAAAAAGAGCACAACTACCTCCAGTGCGCCATTCCTACTTCCCAAATGATCTTTGCTAGCTAGAACTTATTCAAGAAGTATATGAAGCTTTCTCTCTTTCTCTCTCTCGCTGAGAAGTTGCGAGGTGAATTAGTGGAATTGGGTATAAATTGGGGTCACCCACGCCAATCGTTCTCAAAAATTCCCACCTCAGCGACCCAAAAAGTTGTGTTTTAGCTTTGGAATTTTTGAACCCCGTTCCTCTAACGAACTCTGCTAGCCTGCCCTCTCCTCTTCCTCAAAAATCTCTGCTAGCCTGCCCTCTCCTCTTCCTCAACAATCTCTGCTAGCCTGCCCTCTCCTCTTCCTCAACAATCTCTGCTAGCCTGCCCTCTCCTCTTCCTCAAAAATCTCTGCGAGCCTGCCCCATCCTGCAAATACTACTTTGACTCTCGGTCCTCGTCATTAGCTTAAGAAAAATGGCTCCAATCAGCGGCTGTATATTTATTCGTCCCTTAAGCTTTTATGCAAATCAGGGCACTGGGGTCTCCCATCATTTTGCCCCAAGGCACATTTTAAGGAACAGGGCGAGCGAGAGAGCGAGAGTGAGAGAGAAAGCGAGAGAGCGAGAGAGCGAGAGAGAGAGGGAGAGATAAAGAGCCAGGGCACATCCCCTCCCGATATTCATTATTCAGCACATCAGCGCCAATCTTCTCCTCAGGCCAGGGGGGTCTCTCCTTTTTGTGTCCAAACACCCAATTCCGCTACACACCTATCCCCGTCCCCCCAAAGGAGTTAATAGCCCGAGGGCACTGGGCGAGGATACGACAATTTGTCAGGCTCCTGAGAGGTCTCTGCTAGCCTGCCTGAAGTTTGGGTTTTTTGAAGTTCCTCAATGATCTCTGCTGGCCTGCCCTTATTCAACAGCCATGTTTCTGGTTCCTTTGGATTCTCAAATGGATTCTCAAAAGCTAGCCTGCCCTGCCCAGGAAACCCCACTCACCCCACTCCGTAGATTCGCCTCAATAGGCGGCCATTCTTTGATTCCACTGCACACCTATGGCCCGCGATCGGGCCCCAAATCCGCCCCACTCTGAATGACGGAATTCCGCGTGTTTACGGCCCCTTTCCTCTACCCGTACGCCAGCGTATCGGCGTGTAGTTGATGAGCTCGGAAAGCGCACGTCAAAGTGCCAAAATGAACCGAAAAAGTGGGTTTCTTTGCCTGTTGTTATGTGCCGGGGGATAGGTCAGTTGATTTTAGAGGGGGATTTGGCAATCATTTGGCGCATTTTTGCCGATTTTCCGCAATGGAACTCTGCTAGCCTCTCTGCACGCAAAATTTTAGAATTTGCTATGTATTTCTGCTAGAATCTCTGTTTTTCGAACCTTCCGCGTCTCATAAATGATCCCTGCTAGCCTGCCATATTTTTCACTTTATTTAAGCTTCTCGCTTCCTTTAAAATTTCTGAAACTAGCGCTGCTAGATTTCTTCATAATTCGACCAAAACATCGTCAATTCTGTTCACATGGTACTAGTGCTCGTATTACTCGTGCTCACGCTCATGCTCCCGGCGCCACTCCTTTCCTAAAAATCTCTGCGTGCTTGGAAATGCATTTTTGAGCCCCCAGAAGCTGCTGGTATACGAATTTTGCGCCTGTTAGCTTGATTTCCTAGTTTTCACGTTCCTCAATAATCTCTGCTAACTTTTTTGCTTGAAAAAGTGAGCCTACAGCCGAAAGGGGTTGTTTTCTGCTTCCGGCCTCACCCTTCAGGAATTCAGCCGAGCCCAATCCTAATTTACACCCCGCAAAGGGCTGCTTCCTTGATGCAAAAAGTAGCCTAGTGGAATTTTAAGATTAGACAGGCAATTAACTTGTATAACTCGCATTAATTCTTCGTCGATTTTTTAAAAATTAAAGAAATTTTATATAACTATTTTTGTCTTTCAGATGCTGAACTTTTTCCGGGTTTTTACATGCAAAAACCCCGAAATAAAATGAAGAAATCCCCCACTTTACCTGCTATAATCTAGCGAAGTCGCACTCGCCGGAAAATTCCCAGGAATGCATGCAAATTGAGGCTGCTTCGTAGCCGGGCTCGGCCTCAAGACCCGGCAGGATTCTAGGGATTCTCGCAAGGGATAGATAGGCAATGGCTGTAGAAATTAAATCCGATCCATTCAATGTGGACGGAGCAGATAATCCGGGCATCAGTCCCGCCGGTGTGACAATTTGCTTCCCCTCATTGGGTCTTCTTCCCCCTCGCCTATTCTTTCGATTTTATATTGTGTCCCATACCCCACGCGGTTGCATTTGAATTAATTGATTTTTGAAACTATCTATTAGTGCGCCGATCTCAACAATCTCTGCTAGCCTGCCCTCTACCCTTCCTCAACAATCTCTGCTAGCCTGCCCTCTCCTCTTCCTCAACAATCTCTGCTAGCCTGCCTTCTCCTCTTCCTGAATCAGCTTTTGTCAAGATCCAAAGTGGCTAGGTACGATTTTCAAGGTTATGGCATTTGTCAGGAAGCCTTTAAAGGGAACGTGACAGTTAAACCCAAACCCAAAAAACCATGAACTCAAAGGATGCAAAAAAGACATACTCTACTTTGCTGCCTCTTCGACCCCATTCTCCCCTCCCCCTAATTCCCCAATTTTTGGCACGTACGCTGTTGTGTCGCGGAACCGGAAACTCCTCGAATACCTATTTCCTGTTTGATTACGCGCCGGGCCAGGGGGTAGGGGGGGACGTCTGATTAAAGTGGCGACCCGAGTCTTGTCCCTGCGCGCAAAAATCCTCTAATCCCGTCGTTCCTCGTCCAGTAAAAGTGACTGACTCAGACAAAACGTTCAAAGGCTTCCTGGTCCATTACTAGGTGATTTTTTTGTAATACTGTAAAACTTTCGCACTTTTGAAAAATATGAGAACAGCTCAATTAGCCATAGACAACGCAGGCTTAGGCTTAGACCTAGGCCAACAAAGGTCGACCATGGAAATCGGTCATATCGATAGGCTTAGGCTTAGGCTTAGGCTTACGCTTAGGCTTAGGCTAGGCTAAGATTAGGCTTAGGCTTAGGCTTAGGCTTAGGCTTAGGCTTAGGCTTAGGATTAGGCTTAGGCTTAGGCTAAGGCTAACAGAGGTCGACCATGGAAATCGGTAATATCGATAGGCTTAGGCTTAGGCTTAGGCTTAGGCTTAGGCTTAGGCTTAGGCTTAGGCTTAGGCTTAGGCTTAGGCTTAGGCTTAGGCTTAGGCTTAGGCTTAGGCTTAGGCTAACAGAGGTCGAACATGGAAATCGGCCATATCGATAGGCATAGGGCTTAGGCTCTAAAATCATTCCGGCAACCAAATTTTCGTCATTTTCATTTCCTTGTGTTCCATGTCGTGTAACGGAACGACCCGAACGCTGCAAAAACACAAAACAAAAAAGCCGTTCCTTCGGGCGTTCGGGGCCCTGGCCGTTCTCTAATGGTTAGCAAGGGGGGAAAAGCCGATGAGGCGGTAATGGGATTCCCGAATTCCCTGTGCCCTCGGGTCCCACACACCGATTCGTCGGTGTGGCCCTAGGAGGGGCCATCCACTTACCATTAGGGGACACTAGCATGGGGGACAGCAAAGGGCAACCATCGTCACATCTGGGAATGGGTTCAATGATCTCTGCTAGCCTGCCGGTCCTCAAGCGTCTCTGCTCGCTATCCTAGCTATGAAGTCTCCGAAGCGGTTTTGTTTCCATAAAAGTCATGGAAAGAAGCTCCAAAAAATCTCTGCTTGCTGACCTTCCTTATAACACTTTTGAGACCTTTCTTAAATTCTTAAATGCTCTCTGATAGGGCTATCAGAGACTTCTCCTCCTCAAAAGTAGGCCAAGTTTTTCGTTAATGCTAGGAGTCCAGTACCATCTCTAAGGTGGCAATGTTCTAAACGTCCCAAATCCAAAAGCCCAGCGCACCCACCTTCAGCCACTTGTTGTGCTCCGAGCGCGGTCAAGCCAGATTTTCGCTTTGTTATTTTTCCAGAAAACTAAAAAGGGCCGGCCGTCCTTGAGGAATTTCGAGACAAATAGCGCTGAAGCTTCTCCTTTTCGCTTGGACCAACGCCATAACTCACCGGGGGTTACGGAGCGTTCCCCGTTTTTGCGGCGAACTGGGACGTAAAGTGGAATTCGGAAACTTTTGGAATGTTGCCATTCTTCAACGATCTGTGTTAGCCTGCCCTGTCCGCTTCCCCAACAATCTCTGCTGGCCTGCCCTCCTTTCAGGTTTCTTCAAAACTCCCAACTCTTCCTAGCCAGTAATAACTCGTTCTCGAACATTCCCGAAAAGTGTTCACATCTATGCCAGGGTCGAGCAAAAACGGTGAAGCTGCCGTGGGGATGTGTGGGCTCAACATTTGCATTTATGCCCTGGGGGCACGGGATTAAAAACTGGCCGCCGAGGGCTTCACAGCCCTCCGGGGGCCGTGAAGCTTCTCTAACTCCCGGCTCCAAATTTATCGCCCACTCTCACGTGGCGCGAATTTTACTGCAGTTTGAAGGCTAGCAGAGATTATTGAGGAAGAGGAACGGGCAGGCTAGCAGAGATTATTGAGGAAGAGGAAAGGGCAGGCTAGCAGCGATCAATTAGGAACACGGTACTTTATTTTCCGTCGCATTCATTGTCTTGTCAATTTCTCGGTTTTCTTTTTTATGCTTTTTTTCTGTGTTTTAATCCCTTTAAGACCAATCCGGGCCTGCTCCTCCTCCTCCTCCAATTAAACCATAGTCTAGGCCCCCTGAATCCGCTCATTTTATCACCCAGAGGGTACATTTTTTAACCCGGGGCCGACCTATGGGGGTGGAGCCCCCGGATGAATGGGAGCTCGGAATAGACGCCCCGAATTTTTTCGATTGGATCAGCGCCGGGAAATTCCTGACTGGGTTCAAAACCTTTGGGTGGATTTGTCTCGGAACTGAATCTGAAAAATCGCCCTGCTAGATTGCCCATTTTTCAAAAATAATGACTGCTAGCCTGCCCTCTCCTCTTCCTCAACAATCTCTGCTAGCCTGCCCTCTCCTCTTCCTCAACAATCTCTGCTAGCCTGCCCTCTCCTCTTTCTCAACAATCTGTGCTAGCCTGCCCTCTCCCCTTCCTAAATGATCTCTGCTAGCCTGCCTCTCCTCTTCCTCAACAATCTCTGCTAGCCTGCCCTCTCCTCTTCCTCAACAATCTCTGCTAGCCTGCCCTCTCCTCTTCCTCAACAATCTCTGCTAGCCTGCCCTCTCTCTCCTCTTCCTAAATGATCTCTGCTGCCTTGCCCGACATGTGTTGTGCTACACTAATACCGCGATAAAAACGAATTCTCCTTAATTCGATGACCTTTCTATCGTTAAGAGAATTGCTTCGTAGGGCCCTCCATCCGGCAATTAGTCATTGGCCATCTCCTCGGAAAAGCAACTTTTAATTGCCATTCCACCACCATCATCAGCCGGCCCTTTTCGTCTTCTTTCAAAAAGGGGCGTCAGGGGGTGAAAATATTTTTGCACCGGCGCCCCGGTTAGGGTTGGAGACGTCGTCGGAATTTGTCATTGAATGGAATAAAATTAAAATTATTTTTTGTTTTTGATGTCATTTAATTGTTGTAAATTTAAGCGATTTTGAACCTATTTTCAGCAATGGACAACCCAGGGAACGGGTCGTGGAACAACCCAGAGAATGCCACCCACTGCGGCGGCAGCGTGTTCACGAAGGAGCAGATAGACTTGCGCCTGATTGGCAACATGCCAATTTCTGTATTTGGCATGTTTACGAATATTATTAATATTGGTGGGTTTCTAGACAAGCCTAAGCCTAAGCTCAAGCTCCTTGCATAACCCGAGAAGACCCAGTTTTTCAGTTGTCTTCCTCGACGTGGAGATGCGCGTCCAGTTGGTCAACCACTTCCTGTTAGCTCTCTCCCTCTCCGATCTGCTGCTCTTAATATGCAACTTTTTCTTCCTCATCCTCCCCGTCATCTCCAACATGTCCTCTAGGGTGGATCTACACAATGCGTATCCTGTGGCTTTGTGGTAAGAATAAAATGTAGCTTTTTAGACGCTTTTAAAGGGCAAGTTACCAGAAGCCATTTGCCTCTTCTCTGAAATCTGAAATTCCAGGTACGCCTATCCGATCGGGTTGACGACGCAGACGTGTGGTGTCTATTTGACCGTACTTGTCTCGGTTCATCGATATTTGGGTAAGTGGGAACGGGAGAGAGCGAGAGTGAGTGAGAGAGTAAGAGTGACAGAGAGAGAGAGAGAGAGAGAGAGAGAGAGAGGTATGAAATTTTCCCTTTAAGGTGTTTGTCACCCATTTCGAGCGAAAAGATGGGTTTCCGGTCGCCCAGTGAAAGCAGCCATCGGGGGATCAATATTGTTTTCAGTAAGTCCCAGAGAAGGGCAGTCTAGCAGAGATTGTTGAGGAAGAGGATAGCAGAGATTTTTTGGATAACTTTCTCCCATTTACACCAATCTAGATCCTCATCAACGTGCCCACCTGGTTCGAGCTGTTCATCACCCCCTGCTTCGAGCCGAAATTTAATTCAGTGATTAAGTGGGTGAAAAAAGCATTTCCTAACCTCAGAAATTTTTAGTGAAGTCGGGCTGACGGAATTCCAGCAGGGCTACATCTACCGCATCGTCGCCAAGGTCAGAATATTCCAAATTTCCGAAACTGCCTGATACGTCGCTTTAAAACATGCATCTCCCTCTTTCAGGTGATTGGCTACACGATGGTGATGTTCATCATCCCGTTCGCCATCCTGATCATCGTCAACTGCCGGATCATTGTCGCGCTGCAGCAGAGCAAGAATTTACGGCAGATGCACTCGTCGAAGAAGTCGACGGCATCGTGAGTTTTTGGTGTTTGATAGGCCTAGGCTTAGGCTTAGGATTAGGCAGGAACATTTAAAAACTACTCATTTAGCAGAACAATGGTGATGAACCAATTCCGGATGCTGAGAAACTCCAAGTACACCGAGCTGTTCAACACGCTCAGCAAGATGACGGGATTGCAGTAAGTAGAAAGTGGGAGAGAGAGAGAGCGAGAGCGACAGAGAGATAGGGTATTTTATCCTATTTTTTCAGAAATTTCCGCTCCCCCTCCTTCCTGAAGACGAACAGCAACAGCGTCAGGGACCGCTCCGTGACGATGATGTTGCTGGCGATCGTCGGAATTTTTCTGTTCTGCAACTGTCTAGCCCTCTGTAATAACTTGATCGACATCCTCGTCCGCGAGCAGCTGCTCACCTTTTCGGTAGGTTTTGGCAAGTTTTAAAGGGACTGGCAAGCGCTAGAAGGTGAATTTAGCTCTCGAAAAGTAGCTACGAAATGGAATTTGGCAGGAAAAGGACTTATCCAAACTCAAATAGTCTCTGCTATCATCGCATCATAGCATCGCAAAAAACATGATCAACCTGTTCAGAACGAACTCTTCGAGATGTCGGTCGAAATCGCGAATCTATTAATCTCCCTCAACTCCTCGTCGTCCATCTTTGTCTACATGATCTTCTCCTCAAAGTACCGCACCATCATCAAGCACTGGCTGGGGCTGCAGAAGCGCAAGAAGGTGCGGATTTAGACCTTTGGGGCTCCTTTAAACCACTTCAAATTAACTAGCCTCAAAAAATTCGCCATTACTAAAATTTTCCAGGTAAACGGCGTGGCCCTAACTACAGCACTGGCCGCCCAGAAGGCCCTCGAGTTATCGGTGCTCCCCGATGAGGTAAGGCTACGAAATTTGATCTTATATCGTAACACCTAGGTCGAAAATCGGCGCCGGAAGTCGAATGCGGAGAAGTTCAGCCAATCGCAGGGCAGTCGTCAGCCACTCTCGAGGAGGACCAGCTCGCATAGCGATATTCGGGTCGAGGATGAGATCTGTGCTGGTGGGGCTTTGAAAGGGGCTTGCAAGGAATGCGCTTTTAGATGCTTGGGGTAAGCTAGCAGAGGTTCTTGAGGAGAGCACGCTTTTATATAGGCTGTATATTAGAGGCTTTTTCAAAATGTCGAAAATTAGAATGTCGAATTTTCATCAAGTCGCAATTTCATAATGTCGAAATTTAAAAAAGATAATTTCCCGTAGAGACTTCGACCTTTTTCGACAATTTTTATTCTGACTTGCGACGTTATGATAGCAAATCGGCTACCAGACCTCTAGTTGGAACAAAAATCATTTTGAGGCTTCACCAAACTAGCCGATTTTCTTAGCAATTTACCGAAAATTCTTACGCGATATAGCAGAGATAATTTAGGACCCAGGCGAACTAGCAGAGATTCTTACTGAAAAGCAGATTCAGCTTTATTTATAAATATCTTACATTTAGACGACGACTCGGACGCCAGACGGACCTCTTCAAGAAGGAAGCTCCTTCGCTTCGCCACTGTCCAATAATACTCGAAACAACCATCTAATCTCAATTCTGTTCGGTCTCGTCGTTCTACGGGTGTCTTCAAGCTACTGTACCGGATTTGCAAAGCTAATAAAATCGTTGGGTAACGTCGTCAACAGTTTCAGTTCAACCAAAAAAGTACAGAAAAAAATCCAATTAAAATCCCTTCAAAAATTCTCACAAAAATAGGCAATGTGAAAATTTTAGCCTTCTAAGCTTTGCGATAGCTAAGCCAACAAAACGAAGCCGGACAGCTAGGCGAAGTTGGACCAGTTACGTGGGGGTGGGGGGGGGGGGGCATTTGGGGGATGTGGGGTTCGCGGTGGGACCCCGCGGGTTGACAGATGTCAGAAGAGGTCCCACGATCTGTGTAAAGAGTACGCGGGCGTACTCTTTGCAAAGACCGGAATAACTGGAACAATCGCATGATGAAATTGGCCAAAGATCAATTTTGTTTGGTGAACTGAGGATTTTAGAAGAAAGGAGGGAATCCGAAATTTCAGAAAACTGGATATCCCGAGACAAAGCAAGCCAGCATAAAAAAAAATCAGGAAATGGCTTAATTCCTAAAACTGGTGCAAATCGATGAGCAGTAGACTTTCCTAAAAAGTCTTTGCTAGCTTGCCGCAAAGGTGAAAACGCCCAGTTTCCAGAAAGATCCATGCTAGCTTGCTCTAAACCTACACAATGACACCAAAATTATCACAAAGTCTCTGCTAGCTTTCCGGGGTTCCAGAAGCTCCTGAATTTTCCTGACACCTTTTTATTAGGCGACCTTGCAGCTTGACCTTGATTTTGAGGATTTAGTAAAATTCCTCAAAAAATACCTGCTTGCTGCCCGAGATCGACTCATTTTTGAGCTCATACAGACAGTCAGGTGTCAAGAATTTCCCAAAGAATCTCTGCTAGCTCCAAACCACCACATTCTGGTCCGAATACAGTAACTGCAAGGCAGCGACAGCGCAAACCATGCATATCTTGGCCCCTCCACACTCTTCCACTCTCTCGCCGGGTGGGTGTGTCCGGATTGGCGCGTCCGTGTCCGCCCCGTTTTTCGCCCGAACCCTGCCACCTGGTGGCTGGTATAAATGGGACCCAGGTGCCCCCAATCCCCAGATCCACCATGAAGTCTCAACTCGCCTTCTTCAGGTAAGCGCTTTGGCTTCGGCTTAGGCTTCGTTGGCTTCGGTGGTCCCATACAAGACACTTTTAGCATTCTCCTCGTCTCAGCCAGCGCCCAGCTGCGCCTCGGTCAGTACTTCGCATCGGCAGGCCAGTCTGATAACATTTTCCACTTAAGCTAACCTTGAAAACGGCTTCTTCTTGGCTATTCAAAAGCTTTTCTGTACTTTTGGACATGTTTTACGCATTTTCTGAATCTTCTAAACGGCTTCTCAGAGCTTTTTCTAACGCTTAGACGCTTCTACATCTCTAACAATCTCAAAAACGGATCTTTACTACTAAAAACCCGCTAAAACTTGCTATAGAATTTTCTAAACTTCACAACGCCTTTCTAAACTACTCAAAAGGGGATATGCCTCTAAAAATTCATAACAATACTTCTCAATTCCGGGAACCTGACCTTTCGACTCCTCTTCTAAACTGCTTTGGGTATCTGCCTGGTAACTTGTCTATGACAAGGACTACCATCTCTAACGGCTTACCAATCTTGAAAGGGGAAAGCAACAATTCTGCAGAAACTCCTGTTACCCCAAACTTCAGGTGTCCCAGTGGGATGTGCCGCTCCACCATGCCCCTGCTTGAGCCCACCTTGCCCGCCTCCGCCTCCACCACCCCCACCACCACCGCCGGTAAGTCTGGGGTTATGGCGAGACAAACAACGGCCGCCTCGCTTGGATCTCGCTCTCTGGTTTGCTATAAGGATGTAAAGTATACCAAAATACTCGCCACATCAAGACGAACGTTTTGGTATACTTTACAACCCTATAGGCCAATGGGAAGCGGTGATTCAAAGGTCGGCGGCCGACCGGATCGGACAGAATACCCTCATAATAATTGATCCGATCATTATAACTCCTTTAGCCGGTCATGCAATGCTGCCCGGTGTGCGAGATGGCGCCTTGCCCGGTGTGTGAGCCTCCGCTCCCCCCGTGTCCTCCTCCCCCTCCCCCACCACCACCGCCACCACCACCAGCCCCGATGCCGGTCCCGGTCCCCGTTCCGGTACCGCAGTACTACCCGGTGAGTAAAAAAGGCGAGAACAAAATCCTAGACCGTACCTACTAACTTTGGCCATAATCCTGAGGTTCAGGTCCCGGTCCCGGTTCCGTGTGCGGCTCCCCCATGCCCAGCTCCTGCACCTCCTCCTCCTCCCCCGCCAGCGCCAGTGGTAAGCAAAGGAGCAGGCAGGAGTAGTAGTAATCGTTGATGCACATACTAGACTTGTCTAATCCGGAAATCCAACAATCCTATAGTTACCGCTTTCTAGGTCTACTGCGCCGCCCCACCATGCGCTCCTCGCCCGATCCCTGTGATGTACCAACCCGTTTCGGTAAGTTCAAAAGATCCCACAACTTCTTAACGACCCCAAAACCCAAACAACATTACCGCTTTAGTACTGTTCCGCCCCTCCTTGCCCACCCCCGGCCCCGATGCCCATCTACCAGCCCGTGCAGCCGGCACCGGTATGTTCAAGGAGCCCCTAACGGATTCTATCCCTCCAAGTTTCAGATGTACAGCCCTTGCGCGGCTCCCCCGTGCGGAGGATACCCGGGAGCGTACCCCGGAATCGGAGGCGGAGCCTACCCGACTTACCCTGGAATTGGAGGAGGAGCCTACCCCGGAATCGGAGGAGGAGCCTATCCTAGCTACCCTTCGGCCTATCCGGGCATCGGTGGAGGTGCTTACCCCACGATGGGATACCTTGGAATCGGAGGTGAGTCAGGGTAAAAGCGTACGTACAGGCACGAGCTACGCAGGCGTCTATTGACGTCTGGAGCCTCCATAGACAAACAAGTTTTAGCAATCGAACTTCAAGTGAAAAAAAACATAAAAAGAAACATTGAATGTCTCCTCGTCTTTAGTATTGTTAAAAATCAAGATTCTGAGCATCAACGAATCAAAAACAAAAGAGATTCTTACAGCGTCATGAAAACTCTAATGTACAAACTATATAACTCCTTCTAGGTGGTGCTCGTCCGGCCTACTCGCCCTCCTTCTTCTCCCGCGGAGCCTTCATGTACGGTTCCAACAAGGGAAAAGCACGCACCGAGGTAAGAGCACTTCAAAAATTTCTAAATCTAACGACTACTCTCTCTAGGCATCAAAAACCTCTGAGGAAAAGCCCGCCAGCAACGAGGAGACTGAGGAGCAGCCAACTGAGGAGAAGCCAGCAAACTAAGCTCCACCTAACTTATTCGCCCAACCCTTCAACTATTTTTGGGAAATTATTATGTTTCCGGTGAACAATTAGGCACCGAATAAACGAATGGGTTTTGAGCAGCAGCAAGCAAAGAAGTTGGACAAAATTAACAATCTCAGAAAGCGTACATCGCTTCATGAATCCTCTAAAAACTATTATAATAAGCAGCTCAAGTAAACAAGCGCTACGTATCACTCCAAACGACATGCGGTCCGGCTGCGCGCGCTGGGAACGATGACGTCCCCATCAAAAGTTTTAAAGACCGTCAGAACGATGAAATATCGTTTAGAGCAAGAAAGTTGCGCACCGGGCGGGGGTCGAACCCGCGATGGTTCGCTCCACAGTCCGACGCGCTAGCCACTATACCACAGGGCCAAGTGGAGAATGGAGTCAGAGGCGCCCCAAACCCCAGAGGGTCTTTGCCCTATACGGGACACCACTAGTGACGACGCTCTCTGCGCGTTCTTGGGGGCAGCACCCTCGGGGTGACAGTGCGCGTTCCATCGTTCTGGTAGTCTTTAAAGAATACAAAATTTCGCTGCTTCTCTGGAACATAACCTCTGTTCTTGAAATTTTAGTATATTCTCCACCTGGCTATCGATAGAAAAGGATCTCAGCTACACATTGATAGTAAAATCAGGGCGATCGCAGGGTACGATGTTGACGTCAAAGCTTTTTGAGCGGGTGGAGAGCCGAAAATTCCTTTGTGTGAGGATCTGTTCTTCTTTATCATCTCCTTCTATGTTCCCTCTACGTCCTATTCGCATCCAAGTATAAGAGCAATAAGTTTCAATTTTGTAATCTCCGAGAAAACAACGCATTGCGCCGGCGCGCCGCAGCGGAAAGGCCAGGCTGTCACAATTCTAGCTTCCAAAGCTTTCGAATGTTTGAATCGGCTTTCCAGTCATGTCTTTCTAGCTAACATTTATCTTTTCAATTATAATATTTCAGTTTTGCCGGAAAATTTACTTTTTTTTTACTTTTCCAAAAGTTCCGCCAAATAACACCGCGTAATGTACTCCGAAAAGCAACGAAATTGATACCGCTTTTAGAAAATCTTTAAAATTTGTGAGGTTTTCACATAGAAAGTTATATATTTTTGTTTTCTATGTTGAGAAATTTCTACTTTTTATCACTTCTTATTTCCTTAGCATCGCGTAATGCACTCCGAAAAGCAACGAAATTTATGCCGCGTTTACAAAACTTTATAATTTTAACCGAAACAATTTTACAGCTTTATAATTTTCTCTCTGATAAGACATTCTTGTTTTCCTGATATATCTTTGCTTTGCTGCCGTTTTTGTCACAACTTTATTACTATTTAGACATGGAGCAGCTGCCGTTGGTAACTACGCTCACAAAAAGGGACCTAACGACGAAGCTCGTGCAGTTTTACGAACGCGCTAGCGACAGCCATCAGGTCTAAACTTTCCATTTAGTTAGAAGGCTTTCTATATTTTTGATCTACTAGTTTTTATTATTATTTTTAGGCTTCATGGAAGAGCTTTTCGTGCTTCAAATGCTTTTGGGAATTCGGCAGCGAGGCCGAGTTAGCAGCCCATATGAAAACTACGCATCCGAAAAACAAAAAGAAAGGTAATTTACTTGTCAATTACTCTAGGAAATCAATCAGCTTTATGTGTAACTAAAGAATAATTTTATTTTTCAGTGGTTCCGGCGATGAACTTACTGTTGGCCGCGCCGTATTGGGAGGAATATTTGGAGCGGTAGCTTAATGTTTTCCCACATTCACCACCTACTTTTTAGGGGCTTCTACAAGGGCTTTGTCGACCGCATTTACCCGTTGGACGAGAATGGCAAAGGCACCTACTTCTCTTACACCTCGTCGCTGGCAACGCCTAAGATGACAAGGTACTGCTGAAACTATTCTGTGAACCTTTTTTAGGCGCTGGAAGCATATTCTGAGTCGCCAGCCCCAACCTGATTATGACATTGCACTCAAGACGTTTTTCATGTTATTCCTGGACAATGAGCAGAATAAATGGTAATTTTTAGGTTTTGGTCACTCTCTGAGGGATCGGAAACTTTTATATCATAGTTTATCTTTTTACGTTCCAGCAAGTTTGTAAAGTCCGGCGCGTACATTATTTATGCAATAGAAGAAATTACTTTTGCTTTTAGGAATTGCCTATTTTGCCCGCACACAACACCCGTCTTCCGCGCTCCGTCGCTGCCGGTGATGTGCGCGCGGGTGTTGATGCACCTCGAGAAGCACCTTCGGTTTGGCGAGGTTGCCGGTGAAGCGGGCAAGAGCTTCTGGCAGGTGCCCGCGCCGTTCTGTGATGTGCTCAAGGGTGTCATTGAAAATGAATGGTAGGAGCGGTTTCGTTTGGTTTGTCTCGGGTTTTTTTATTTTTTCACGTTATTCGCGGGGAACACCAGATTTCTCAAAGCCGGGTAATGTATTTATGGATTGTTTCTGGCTATTTTTTGAAGGGAAAGATTGGGTTTTTATTAAAGACCGGTACTTTCTATAGATATATCGGTTTTCGGCTTAACTGCCGGATTTTTTAAATAAATTTCGAACTTTTCAAGCTTCGACATTTGTTTTTTTATCAACTATTATCCCCTGATCTATTCTTCTAATGGACGCGATCTTACTAATCACTCCAATTTCATGTCTAGTCGTACATGGATTTAGATAAAAACATTTAGTCCCCCCCCTCCCGTTAATGCGAAAGCGCCCATTTCTCGTTTTCCAGGCAAATCCTGAACTCGCAGACCGAATACCCGTTCGACGAGCTCCGTCGCGGCGCCGACGAAGCGCTAGGCTCGGGGGAGAATGGACGGTTTTAGTGCTTTTTTTAAATTATGATTTTTTCATAGCACTTACCTCTACCACGTCGCACTGGACCGTGAGCACTGCCACGCCCTGAAATTACCCCACAATTATTGGGGACTATGCAAGGTTGCAAAAGCTTTCAATTATTTATTTTTTTTTTATAGTTTTGTGCGTGTGCCGTCAGCACGTCGGAAGAGGGATGCCGGCATTTCGAGAGGGACCATGGGCGAAAACTGTAAGTTGAGTTTTGACAACAAGAAAATTCCTTTTGCAGCAAGCCCACGGCTAGCGAGTTTGCCCTTTGGCGAGGAGACCGGACGCCGCCCTTGGTCGACCGCATCCTCGCCTATACGTCAATCCAAGAGGTCGAATTTTTTGCAAATCTTTTGCGGTACTGAACTGTTAGCGGGGGTGTCTAACTAGGATAATTTTTGGCGTTTTTGGTTTTGCTAGTTTGTAAGTAGTAATTAAGTTTACTCAAATGTTAAAAACAAAACTGATTACTCAAAACTTACTACTTACTTTATGAATGTTAAACGGTTTTAAGAACTTTTTAAAATTCGATATTTTTGCCAGTTTCCTTATTTTCATTTTCAAACGCCATAATTTTTCGAGAATTCCATTGGTTTTTAAGAATTTTAAGAATAATTAAAAACCACGTTACCCTCACCGCCCCCCGCTAACAGCTAACTATTTTACCAGACCCCTTTAACATGTAAAATATCTTTTTTAGGGAGACAAGCCGGTGATGTGGGCATGGCAGTGCCAAGTCCCTGGCTGTGACCTCGAGGGGCCGCGGAGTCACTGCGAATCACCGTGGCTGTGGCACATGCGCGCCTACGCGCTTTACCACCTCGAAAAAGCGCACGCGGGCCTCTTTTCGGAAGAATTCTATGACTATGAATGGTAAGGATTTTGGACTTGCGTCGCCCTTAGTATATCATAGTGTGATACACGCCATTTATTTACGTTTACGCCGCTTTTATGTACAAAATCTCCTAGAAAATTATTCTATTTACCTAAACCAAACCTTAAACGTCCTACCTAAATTTACTCAATACCTAAATCCACTTTATGCTTTTTTCAGGCGGGTCGTGCACTCGGAAACCCCTCATCGACAGGGCACCTACGATTGGCGAGCACAAGGCGGTCAGATACCGAAGGACATAGCGTAATTATTTTGGGTTTTTATGTTATTTGATCCCTTTCTTAGGGACCCGAACGGCTTTGTGCTGCGCTGCTACGGCATCCTCGACACGCTTTTCGAGGGCTACATCTGCAAGCGCTGCCTCTACATCGCGCCCGACTGCGCGCCGTTCATCCAGCACATCTCGGATCGACACGGATTTTGTGGAGAGTGCGTTTTTTTTGTTGAAATAGGGGCCGTTTGGGCCGTGTGAACAAGCTCATTTGATAGATCGTAAAATTCTGAACACATTTTTTGTAAAATTGCTACGCGATTGCGTATTTCGCGAAAATTTGTTCTAAAGGGGACGCTTTTCTCCTTTTCGGCATTCACGTTTAACAAAATGTAAAACTTGAGAAACTGTTTCTTGAAGATGGTTTTTGAAAGATGCGACTTGATCAGTATCTCAAGCTCCCTCGAATCGGGCTAAATTTTTGCATTTAAGCGCCCTGACGTTGACGCCTGGCGCCTCGCTGCAACGCGCCGTACCCCGGACTGAACGGCCTCCCAAGGAGAAGCTCAAGCCGGGCTGGCAAGCTCGTCTGGTACTTGTTAATTTCTTTCTGGAAATAGTTTCCTGTAGGCTTGCGATCTGTACCCGCCGAATGAACTCTTGGGCAAGCGCGATTTGTGGAAAGTCCTTGCCGAAAAGTACATCACGATCCAGGTAAGTAAAAAAATGGCTTTCGATTTTTGGGTATTTTTAGTCGCAAACGGTTGTCGATTCGTTTGATGCGCCCGACGACAAGCTCCAGGATACGGTGGTGAGCGTCGGTGATACAGTGATTTTAATCTTAGAGTGGTCGGGATATTCTTTTCAATCGTCTTTTTCAAACTCAAATTTTTTATAATTTTTGTCAACGTTTTTTAAATTAAAGTAGAATTTTATAGAGGAAATATGCTATCTTGACGTCACGTATTTTTAGTTGCCAGCCGATCGCAACACCTCCGTCAACACGTCGCTCAATAACTCCCTCAACTCATCGCGAAAACGTGTTCATTTCGGCTCCGGCAGCGATGAGGACGAAGCGGTAGCTCGTTGTCTTCTGCTTGGATACATTACGCACTCAGAGTGACGCCAAGAAACCGAAGCTGATGGTGGAAGTTTTTGAAGACCCGATCCTCATCGGATCCGAGTCGTCGGACAGCTCACAGGGAACGCTGCTCGACACGACAGAGGCCAAGTTCAAGTCCCCGAAAATCACGCAGCTCGCTAAAAAGGTTGGAATTGGTATTCGGCTGTTTTGACGGTTTATCAAAATTCTAAAATGAAAGAATTTTGTTTCTGTCTCATTGTTTTGCATCGTTTTGAATTTAGCGTTTTTTAGCCGACGAAGAAACCGGTGGCTCGCCTCGAAGAAACGGACGACGAAATTTTTGAAGGGCTCAACGAGAAGGCTGACGAGAAAGACGCCGCCAGGTTAAAAATGATGAAAGCGGCTGCGGTTTACGAGTATGGTTCACTAGTTTTTCTCTGAACCATCGATTTTCAGCTTTCCCGAGATCGCGTCAGATGAGCTGCGCCGGCAGCGGTCCCACATGCGCATCCACAACACGTACACCTGGGAGGGGTGAGTGCTTTGAAAAACTGTTTTTAGAAAATTTTGGCGAATTGTCACTCTCCAAATTTCGTAAAATTCGCCCAAAATAATGGGATCCATTTTAGCGCCCCACCACCGAAATTGAGCGCAGACGCGATGATTGTTCAGAATGCCATCCTCACCGGAAAAACGTGTCCAAAATGCAGGGTTTGTGCGCGTTGTTTCAATGTAGATTTTGTGATGTTTTAGGGTCGCGGCGGGCTGAAGGCTCCGGATAAGCAGGAATTCCTACTTGCACATATGCTCCTGAACCACGCCGGGGCCAACTACGCCGAGGAAATTATCGACAACTATCGGTCAGTCTCCTGAAGTTGGATTTTTAGCTGATTTTTTAGTTACGCCTACTCGCAGAAGACGTTCGGCGAAGACGGTCCCCCACTTCCATTCCAGTTGGACACCATGGTGCGAATTTTCGAATTTTCCGACAAGTCTTCTTTTTCAGAATTCAGACCCTGGCCAGCTCATCTGTTCCGCTTGCCCGTCCCTCAGGCGAACATACAAGGGGCTTGGAGTGCTCAAAAAGCACTGGTCCGCGTGTACTCTGAAAGGTGAGTGTTTTCGGATCTGGTTTGTTAGCGAGGGGAGGCTTTTATAAAAATATTTTGCTTTTGTAGGCGCCAATTGACTAAATATAAACTATTTTGACATTTTTTACGCCTTTTTTAGAGATAAAAATGGCATTCATTCAGAAACAATTTGACGTCAAATTGACCAAAATCGCAGAAAATTGCAGAAATTGTTTTTTTTTAACTTTTTAGCGATCGGAGTTTGCTTAACTGAGGTTATTTTGCCACCCCCCGCTAACGAACCTGAATCGGCGTTTCTAGCAATCTTTTGATTTACGTTTAGTCGACCCGGCTCTTCCGGTCAGCCGAAAGGTTTCAACTTCCGAAGTATCCGCCGAAGAGGCAGCCACCAATGCTCCACCCCAGCCAGTCGAAGAGGAACAGCAACGCTCCGATCTGGAGCCCGAGGACGCCGACGCCGAGCTCTCCGCGTTCGAGTCGCCGAAAAAGCAGTCGCCGCGCAACGTTGACCGCCCGCAAAGCCAAACCGAATCGATGCGTGGCTCCCCGCTGTCCAACGACGGCGCCACGCAAGAGACGTTCGTGACGCCAAAAAAGAAGAATCAAAAGATTGACCTGCCGCAAAGTCCAACCGAATCGCAGCGCGGCTCACCGGTTTTCGACGATGGCGACCAGTCCACATCAACAACTCCTAGCCAAAGTAAGAGCCGCACGCGACGCTCCACCTCCGTCCAGTCCCAGGGCCCCACCACTCCGGTGCGCCGAAACAGGTATGAAGGTTTTATTATTATTTTTTGTTTACCTTTTTAATTTTTCATTTTGCATTATCGGGTTGGGTGAGGCAAATTTACTTAGGATCCAATTTTGGCCAATTGAAAAAGAGGAGACATTTTTATCGCGGTTTTTCCATTGCAAACCTAAAAATACAAATTGTGGTTAAAATAGGGATTATATTTTTTACATTTTTCAAAGTTTTCTTAACTTTTCCATTTGAAAAGTTCCTAAATTTTTTGATTAAATTAGTGAAACGTTATTAAACTGCCCACAGACGACTATGCAGACCTAGGCTTATTAGAAAAATTACGCTTCTATACTGCGAAAGAACCACATTTGCAGATCCGATACGCCGGCACGCAGCCCTCGAAAATCACCGGGAAAAGCCAGGGGCGGCGCCCGGTCGAGGGAGAACAGCCAAGCGAGAGGCAAAAGAGCGCAAACACCCGCCAAGCGCACCCTCACAAAGTATGTATTTTTGGCTTATTTTCGATGTTTCGAAATGCAGAATATCGACATTGAGAACGTGAAGTTTTCATAGGCCGAAATTTTATAATGCCACAATTTTTGGCATTATTTTCAGAAATTCCCAAGAGTTTAATCTTCAACTTCGTCGTTAGGGAATTTAGAAATGATGAAATTTTGACATTAGTACAGCAAGCTATTTTTCCCTGACACGTGAAATATCTTCTTTTAGGGACTACACCTGCACGTTCTGCAACAAGAGTACGGGCAACCACACCGAGGTTTGCATTTTTTTTGTGACGCTATTGAGCCGTTTTTGTTTAGTGTGGGCTCCTACTGCACCTCATTGGCCACCACTACGATGATGACAAGGGCAGAGAAGCGGCTCGTGAATTGGGGTAGTTAGATTTTATAAAAGGTAAATTACGTTGTTTCCAGGAAGAAACTGGATGCGGAGGAAGGATTCCCCTTCGTCGACGTCAACGGCTCGTTTGAGCGATCGGCAAAGGCTGCCGGACCAGTCTTTCAGTGCGTTTTACAATTTTATGCTTGACAAAAACAATGTAGAGAAATTACCTTCTTTTGGTATTAGAAAAATTAGCGGTTCTTTTGCATTAACGGTGGGCGAAGGACCAATTTTTCTTAGGATCTAAGTTTTCATATATAAATAGTGGAAATGTTTCTAAGCGCTTTTTTACTATTCCTAAATGTTAAAACTTTATAAATTTTTATCAAAAAGTTCAAATAATATAGATTTTTCTACCAAAATGGCCGTTTTTGACCGAATTTTTGAGATCTGTCTAGGTTGCTAGCCATGTCTAGGCTTACACAAAAAAGTTTGATCCTCCCCGCCCCCCGAAAAACCAAATTATTTGCTGATGATTTCTTCTGATTAGCTACCAAGGAACAAGGTATGATTTCGCGCTATTGCAAAAGGACAGTTTTCATTTATTTTATTTATCATTTCAGATGCTCGGTATGCACCGACTACCAGTCCACGCATCTCTCCTACTTTGTCATGCACACCCACAAGCACCTCTAAAGTTCGAAGCCCCAACCCCCGATGAGCATTTCCCTACCCCCGCTATTGTCTGGCATTACCCGCTTCACTCCCGGCTTACTGATTGTCAATTTCATCCACCCCCCCCCCCCTGCCAGCAATCCCGTTGTTATTTGTTCTCAATTTGTTATGTTGTTACGCCCGGCACTTGGCCTTTATTCTAGTCATATACTCTACTCGAGGCAGTCTAAATAAATTCAAAAATCGATTACACGCACTTCGTTTGAGCCATGGCCGCATCGGATGACCGCATCTTCCAACTGAAAAGTTTTTTTGCCGACTTTGCTTCTGGAATTCGGATAGGTTTGAATTCTGTGCCGTTTCGGGGGCGATGAGCAAATTGTTGCACTGTCCGCATGGCAGCATTTGCGAAACTTATATAAGTAGTAAGTAAGTAACTTTGTAGAAAATAATAATTAAGTTAAAATAGGCCAGAATACAGCGTAATTAGCAATCTAAGGGTTTAATTAGAGATAGGGGCTGGTTCGCATTATCGGGCGGGGCACCTTTTCTCTTAGGATACAATTTTCAAAATATAAATAGTTGCTTCTAGGCGGTTTTCCTACTATTCCTAAACGTGAAAACTTTACAAAGTTTGTGAAAAATATCGATTTTCGACCAAAAATACTCGTTCTTGGCCAAAAGCTTGACGTTTTAAAAGTTTTTGAGCGTTTTTCTAGTTTAAATAGTTATATTTTAGTAAAAACACTCATAAACACCTCCTATTAAGTTAGTAGACATTTATAGACTTGTACAAAAAATCCCCCCCCCCCCACCCCGATAATGCGTAAGAACCGAGATAGTCTATAGGTAAAATCAAGTAATTTAATTCGAAAATACTTCCAGTTATGCTTACCATATCGAGCTGCAAGGCTGACTCTCGAATGTAGCCCTCCACTTGCGTACATCCCAGCTCGGCGTCGTCGCTTTCGAAAATGAGCATGAACGCCCCGCCAATCTTCTTGATCTTCCACACGATTTTTGTCTTTTGCAGGCCATACGCGTTGATCTGAACGTATTATACGTTTGTTTCGGGCAAAAAAATTGCTGGCGCCCCTACTCACCTGCTGCTTGACCGCTTCAATCAGCTCGACCTCCATCTTGGGATCATAGTCGATGTTCGTTCTCAAATACACTTGCATGGGGCCTCTACCGGCGGGCAGCTCCCGTTTTCGGCCTGACATTGAGGCTCCGTTTTGTTTAATTTTCGTTTTTTACGTTTAGGAATCGTAAAAAATCGTTTAGAAACACTTTCGCTATTTATATAAAAAAAAATCGATCCTAAGGAAAAAAGTTGGTCCCCCCGATAATGCGAAAGAACCATAGGTCCCCCCCCCCCCGATAATACAGCGTCAGATCAAGTTTTTAAACTCCAATTCTTCTAATAAAAACCACGTAAAATATTCCTACGATCATTCGTCAGCGAAGCCGGTAGCCCCTCATCGTTGTTGTTAACCGCATGCGTAGCGGTGCAGGACTAAATTCGGAATTTTTGCTATAGGAATTTTCGTTGCTGTATCAATAAATATAAAATTGTTCTTGCAAAGCTACCAGAGTAATTTTGTTCAAGATGTTTTTTAGTTTTGTTTTTACTTTACAAACCTGTGCAACAGGAACAAAAACGCTGAGAAGCAGTAGAAATCGGTACATACCTTATTTTACGATGTCGGTCTTGCTCAGAATTTTCCGAATTTATACGCAGAAACCCGGAACTGGGTGATCAAATGGCCAACATCATCAAATTTGATGGGAATCTGCCCCGGGGCGTCTTCTAAAGGGCTTGTAATATTGTTTGTATAGCGTGGTGGGTGATCTTGGGCGCCGGGCAGGCTTGCAGTGGTTCTTCACGAATCGTTATGACGCTTTTATCAAATCAGAAAATTTATTCGGATGCTCATCACAAAAATGGCACTGTTTATTGACCAGTTTGGGTGCTATTTTGAGGGTCGAAAAATTCAAGCACATCGTACACTTGGCGCTCCTTGGCGGCGTGCGGGTTGGAGAGAAATACAAAGTACAACACTATACAGGCAGTGGCCAGTAGCATGAAGAAAAAGCCGGCAAGTAATAGCCAAAGCCAGCGTAGCGAGGCCGCCCGGTTCCGCCGATCCGTCGCGCCCTTTACGCAAAGGGCAGCGCCTAAAATGTGAAGTTTTCTAAGAAACATTTTTGAGCTTATTCCGTCGGATTTAACTATTAAGCAAAATCTTAAACTAATAGGAAAATAAAAATTATATTTTTTAAGCAAAAACTTACCAATGGCGCAACAGCTGGCCGCTATCCAACCCAAGCAATCGCTATCAGTGTTCGGCGGAATATGAGTATAAGCCTCATCGTCTCGGCCTAGAAAAATGGCACAAAATAAATGTTTTAAACCTTTAAACGTTAATTTTATTTATTTTGTAAGTTTGAAAGCTTCATTTCGTAAAGTTTACTATTTTCTCGAATTCTATCAACTTTGATTCTCAAAATTTCCGGGATTCCTCTGTCTATAAAGTGCTTTAGCACATAAAATTTATACAAAAATTAGGTTGACACTGCGTTAAATGTATTTTTAACATTTAAAACCTTACCATAGCGCTTCTGCTGACTTTCGATCCCCTGTAAATCGGTAGACGAACTGGGCGTAGGCTCCATCGAATCTTTCGCCGTTTTCAAGATGCAAATATGCTTTTTCAAACAAAGGCCGAGGAATCGTAGTAGCCGGGGACGTCCAATCGATGCTGTCCCGGGATGTGACTCAACAGCCCCCGCGAAATTCCCTAGCGTGTAGCGCGCGCACGCGGAAAGCGGGACCGGTTTTTTTTGTTGTTGTTGCGAAACTCGGGCCAGAGCGGCGCATTTCATTTAAAACTTTTGGTTTTATTTGCTTTGGTAAAAACTTTTGCTTTTAAACATTCAACATGAATATCGAAAAAAATTCGCAGGAAATAATAATAATTATATCGGTGATCAGTTATATGCTATCAAGTGTTACCTCGTGGTAATTGTTAGATTTAAAGTCTTTGTTCATACAGAATTACCGCCTAAAAAATAAAACTGATAGCGTCATTATTTAAAAAACTATTTTGCACTAGATCGTGTACGCCCTGCTTAGCCTAGATTGGGCATATTCGTCGGGTCCGCATTCTTCCTCACATTCTAAATGCAATCATTATCGCGGTTTCCATAAATTTGTTAAGCTTAATCCAAAACTAGAATGCTTGTTTTTGTTGTGAGTGAGCAAAATATTTTGCAAAAGATATCTTGCCTGCTGACTATTAGTTTTAGTTCTAAATGATGGACCTGTCAGGTCTTCGTTGCTAATTTGAATGACACGATTTCAGGCGCGTAGAAGGGGGGGGGGCAGCGGGGGCAGGCTGCCCCCCCCCGAAATCGGGCGGGCCCGAAAAAAACATAAGGGTCCCCCCTTATGATTTTTTTCATCTTGAAAATTTTTTCGCCTGCGGCGCTGTTTTTATTACTTTTTATTAATTTTTTTGCCTGCGGCGCTGCTATTTTAGCAAAATTTTTCGCCTGCGGCGCTTAAATTTCGTAAAAATTTTCTTGCTGCCCCCTCTGAAAAGTCGCTGCCCCCCCCGAAACTTGGGGTCAGCTACGCCCCTGCACGATTTTCGTGTTTCTGTCCTACCCACTTTTTGCTCGACCTACCTTTCGCCTGTCGTTCCTGATCTTCTTTGTATAGATTCCTAGATGGGTAGCTGCTTTCCCATGGCGGCCTAGTGTCTTCCCATAGCGCGGCGAGAAGGTGCTTTATCCGGCCACAGTTGGTCCCTAAATTAATATACAAGTTCCGGTGGGAATATTGTTATCGGAGCATTACGCCGACACTCGTTGGCCGATAATCATCATGTCGACAATTCGTTAAGGCCGGATTTAGTGCGAATTGTAGTGCTGGTCCTAAGCCTAGTCCGAAACCTAAGCCTAAGCATACTACCCGGTCATCATGTTTGATCACCAAATCACAATGGCCTTTGCCGGCTTATTGCCAACGAATTGTCAATCAAATGAATTTTGGCGGAATGTCTTTCGGCAACAAGACCCACTTGCCAGCAGATTCCCGTACAAGAGCAGCAGCGCTGGCATCAGCGCAGCAAACGGAATCATACGAACGGTGCCCGTTGCACGCTGCATTAGGCCGTGGTCACCGAGCCACGGCTCGTTGAGGCCGTTAATGTGCAGGTCATCCACCTCTCGTCCCAAATACACCCCTCGGTGTTCTTCGTCCTCGTAGGAGAAGAAGAAGACGGGGAAGAATGTTTTATGCCTCTCCTCGACGTCGATGAGCAGCTTTTCGAGAAAATAAAGACGGACGGATCGCCTCTCGTCTTCGAAGTTCTCCCAGTCATTGAGACACCAGAGGGCCCTAAGATAGGGTATTGGTTTGAGAGGCTTTGTGACTGTACCCTACGCACTCAAATCCAGACATTTGCATGTTTAAAGATATTCAAACTCAATACCTGGTGTAGAATTTCAGTTCTTCAAGAAACCGCACCTTCTCCCCATCATTTCGTATTGCCTCTAGACACTTCTCACAGCTCCCTTCTCGAATCTGCCCCACATTGCAAAAGCATAGGTCATCGGGGGGCCAACTCGGGTGGAAACAATAACCGGGGAACGGCTGGGTGTACACCATCACTTGGCATGTCTCCAAAAGATCCGGAGCGAATTTCGGCACGTAACGGTAATACATTTTCAAATAGGGTGCTCGTGCCGGGGTTTTCGCCTTGTCGCGGTGTTGCATCGCAGCATCGAATGTGCGGATAGCCTGTAGACGGTCGACGAGAGCACGGCGCACCGCCTCGATGTCAATTGGGGCTGCTCCCAATGGAAGCTGCTCCATCACTTCGCCTCTCCGAGCCTCGTTGGTCCGAAAACTCTTCAAGTCTAAGCGCACCAGCAGGCTAGCAAAGTCCGCCTGATACCATATATCGTTCGAGTCCGGAATGGCATAGATTTTCCAATAGATGCGCTTGGTGTGGATTTTCTCCAGCGTTTCTATGAGACTCAAGGCACGTTCGAGTATTTGTTTCAACTCCCCCGGATCCAAACGTGTCCAATGTGAAGCGGAAAGTACTTTAACTGCCATTGTCAGGCTGGATTGTTGGATCAAGCCGTCTAATCCGATCAGCACGTTGAATAGCCGATGGCACTCTGAGGGAAGTTGTTTGATATCCCACGGTTCGCCCTCCAGGAAATCTTCGGCATCCTTCACCAGTGCTTGTCGTAGGCAGAGATCTGCTTGGGACCATGCTGCATTGAAATCTATGATGAGCGCCTGTCGCAGCGGGCTCACATCATCACCGCGCAGCGTTTCTGACTGCATGTTTAGCCGTGCTCGCTCAGTCGCGCTACTCGGCGTCCCTGAAGTCTTGGCGGTGACGTAGGCCCAAAGGGCATCTCCTAATGGATGCTCGGGCATACATGGGTGTAGCTCCCCCGCATCATATGGTCGATAAATTATCTCGTAGAATTCGGCTAAACGTCCGCGCAGCGTTGGCAGGACTAGCAGCTTGCCGAAATTCGCATCTCGCTCGATCTTGTTAAGCCATAGCTGAAATTTCTTGAGCGGAACCGCGGCGTGTTGAATGATCGGCGTCGCTCCAGACCTATCGCGTTGCGACACCGTGTCGCAGAAAGAGCACCAAACTGCTGGTGGTGATAGATCCCTCACGGGCCACTCCCTGTTTGTGTCGTCGAGCCCGATCGGTTGGTAGAGGATGGTGTTGCCGCGACGTACCTCTGGAGCCACGGCCATCGCCTCAAGGTGTGTTTTAAGATGCAAACATACAGGGTTTCCCAAAAAAGCGCCCTCCGGCATTTGGCCGTACTACGTCCAATCGGTCTGGTGCTTTGTACAGGGTTGCATCGGATCATAAATAACAGCGATCCTGAGATATAGCCCGATCGCTACAATATCTCTAGAGTTTTCGCCAAAATAGTGTCTTTTACGCCACTCTTATCAGTTTTTCGACCATTTTTTTGGACTTTTCATCGATTTTTGGGACCGATCGGATGTCACACGGCCCTATGCCGGATGGGTACATTTTTTGGGACACCCTATAAAAAAGTTTCAAACTCCTGTGCAAAAATAAGAAAATTTCAGCGCTTCAACTAAACTAGCTGTGAACTTCATTTTCTTTCGTGTTTGGATTTGATTGAGCGTAACCAGGGGCGTAGCTGACCCCAAGTTTCGGGGGTGGGGGTGGCAGCGACGTTTGCGGAGGGGCAGCAAGGGCAAATTTGCGAATTTTGAGCGTGGCAGGCGAAAAATTTTATTAAAAGAGCAGCGCCGCAGGCTAAAAAATGAAGAAAAAAGTATTAAAAACAGCGCCGCAGGCGAAAAAATTTTCTAGTGGAAAAAATCATAAGTCTGCCCCCACACCACAATCCTGGATTTCGAAATGTAAGGTGAAGCCGTTTGGTTTCGCCTGGGTTCCTTTCGATTGCCTACCTGATGCTCAGGCGCTTTCGAGTGGCGCCACCACATTTCTCCGAGCATCGAATAGAGCTCAAGCATTTCGGTAGCACTGGGTCGATCGCGCGAATCCGACGTTTGCGTTCTTAGTTTTCATCATAAAACGTCGTCGCTGTTTTGGACAAAAAAGATCAAAAGACTAAAATCATTACCGTTGGAATAGCTGTGCTAACCCGTCGCCGTTTGGTGACAGCTTGAAAGCCTTGTTGTTCGTTGTTGCTCGTTGCTCGGGAGCCGGCGATCTGAACTTGATTTCAGAAAGTTACGCAGAGCGCTTGGGTATGGTTTAATAGGGACTACCTACGAACGGTGACTTCCCGGATGACGATGCCGGCGCTGTAGATATCGCATTTGAAATTCTGATCGCCAGCGACGGCACCACAGGCCAAAACCTCCGGGGCCATGTACCCAGGGGTTCCACACAACATGCCCGCCTCGTAGTCCCGCCGGGTGATGCCGAAGTCGCCGATCTTCAGCAGAAAGTTGTCCGCCAGCAATAGGCTAACAAAAAAAAAACGTTTTTTAGTGTGATTTGAGTTTTGAGTCGGGTCAAGGCGGACCTTGTAGTGATCAATCAGAAATCAGAAAAATGTGCGCTTTGGGATCAGCTATCTCATACTTTCCAGAAATTGCGAAAAATGGTCCAAGGTCACATGCAGAAGCGCCTTGTTTAAAAGGATCTTTTCAAAGTAAAGGAATCCTAACTTGGCGGGCTTGATATCCTGGTGAATGACACCTTTGCCATGCAGGTACACGAGTCCAGAAAATAGAGCTTTGGCCCACTCGACAATCGTCGATACCGAGTAGATCCATTCCGGGTTTGGAATGGCTAAAAACACGGCTGCGTCTGAGAGAATTCACGATTCGCCCCTGTACCTTCTTTGAGTGTCCCATATTGGCAGTATTCCATAAAAATCCGGGCACATCCTGCCGTATAGTCGCTATAGTCTGGTGGAATGTCGATGAATTTGACAACATTGACATGTGCCAATTCCTTCAGCACGGTCCACTCCCTTTTATACACGTCATCGTTTTCGTTTCGCCCAGGAAGCTCTTTGACGACGATCGGGCTGAAAAATGGATTAGTTCTTAAAGACTGGCGTGAAAAGACTCAATGGATTTAGGGGCACCCCGTAGATCCCCAGGGAGTTTGTGGGAGGGCAACTTACGGATAATATTTTTCTAATATGTAGACCTGCCCGAATCCGCCGGACCCTAGGAATTTGCGCTTAGGCATGGTAGTAAATCAATAGGATGGATGCCGGTGAGTCACCGCTGAGTGCACCTGGGAAGAAAGGTGTTCTTATCAGCGCGAATCATGCTAGCCGGGACCAAGTAACCTCTAAATTACGAAGCTCGGTTGCCGGGATTTTGGTTTTAGGCACGGGTTGCTCTGGAAAAAGTTAGCATTTATTAATCAATCTTAAAACACCACACAAACATAATCACGCCACGAATCACACTAAAGGCATCGATAACCACATTAATAAAAAAGCAAAGCAAAATCCATATTTCGGGCAAAGCCGAGGGGAATCCCCGAGAATCATCACACGTACCCAATAGCATTTCTTCCCCCTATCAAAATATCAATGGAATACAAGGTTAAAATTCAGTTTTGTATAGTTTACAACATTCAACTCATGAGAAAAATGTTGTTGAGTATGGGCTTAAAAGTGGGAATCACTTTCCATCGTGCCCTTCCTCAACCGAACTCGGCCAAACTGCCCGGCGTACGCGTCGTCTTGGCCCGAGTGGAAGCCGCTGCTCTCTGAGGCTGGGGGCTAAAAGGGGCGTATAGAGATGATAAACGGAATCTTTGATTGCAGATCGTGTATACACAAAAAGTTGACGCTTACCTGAACTTCCTTCCAGTATTCGTTGGGCGTTTCTAGCGAGGTGTTGCAAGATGTATCCTAAAAATCTTGACGTGTCAGCGAGAGAGGGAGAGAGAGAGGGAGAGAGAGAGGGAGAGATAGAGAGAGAGAGAGAGAGAGAGAGGGCTCGCAATAACGCACATCGTAATACCCATCCCAATTCGCCAGCTGCCACTCGACGGCGGTTAAAAAGCCGTGGATGACGTTCTCCTGGTAGATCATCACCACGCGAAGGCCCATCTAGAAATTAAATACAAATGTAAGCTCTAATTTTAGAGGGTTAAACAACGCAGAAGCTTCTTTTCAAGCAACCATCAAGTTTAACACTCGCTGTAACGTCTAAATGAAATTACCTGGAAAACCGGCATCGACAAGATGAACCAGATTAACGGGAAGGCGGCGGTCTGAATTTTGGGGATATTGCAGTCACTTCACTCCTAACTTACAGCCGCATACACCGGTACGTCATCACTCATGCCCATCCCGGAAATCGTGATATACGTAAAGTAACAACCATCCCAGAATCCCATCGGAGGGCCAAGCTCCTAAAAAGAAAGTCGTGCTCGGAATAGTCATCGCGGTAATGTGTTTGGAAAGTCTTGAACTATGTTTTCTAACTATTAGGTAAGAAAATATTTTTTCAAGGTCAAATCCTTACATCTCGGCCCCACCATTGGTCGTACAGGGCATCATAGGCGAAAATACAGGCACCACAAAACATCAGGTTCACTAAAACCTCAGAAAATCTTAGTTTTTTGAATCGATGGCACAAGGAATGTCAGAAATTGCGAAGTATACAGCATACGTAGCTTTAAAACCTCACGCCAAGTTAAGATGACCAAAATCGATAGCGGGACGGCGATCTCCTCTTTTGGGTTTGTCTCGATGCCTCTTGCTTTTCTAAAAAATATACCGGGGTTGAAAAGCCGCTTCGCGACTTTTCAACGCTGGCCCCGTCTAGCCCTATGATGTTCTTCGTTTTGCATAATTGTGGCCCAATTCCGATGACAAAAAATGAAAAACGCTCCCTTTGAGCCTTTATATGGCCTACAGCGACTTTCCGGCGTATGCTAATTTTATCCTAACAAAGTGGGTGTCGGAATTTTTAAGAAAAACTTAATTTTAATGTCGAAAACACCATATTTTACAAAAGCCGATATGTGTGCAGTCATCTCCAGCCCCTTACGCATCTAATGATGTATCAAACACCTCCTCAAACCCATCCCCTCTCGAGATATCCTCCGGACACCCTGACGGAAGTTACATGCAAATGCATACACCCACACAAACACTATTTTATATATAGTAGGAAGTAGGATTTCCGGACTTCTAAATCTACAAGATTTAATGAGAGAGTTGAAAGTATATATTGGCATTTAATACCAATTTTACTGACCTATATCTAAGAAGAACCTTTGCATATGCCCTAGTCACCAAGATCAACCACCATTGGCCCAGATCTCGACAGAGCACGATCATGAATGGCAGCATGAAAAAACCGTAGAGGATTGTGATGACGCGCCCGCGATCGGTGAGCACGTGTTGGGTACCTTACAGATACTAACTTTTAAAGAGGCCCGAAAAAAGTTACCATATCCAGTGGTCATGAAAATGTTCGAGGCATAGAACACGGCTGGCCAATATTGCCACATCAGATGGTCGTCACCCTCATTTTTGTAGAAAGCCGAATTTTTGAAGATTTTCTCGGTCTTCTGGAGCTCCGTGTAGATGTGCTGGAATCGGCAAAAGTTTGGTAGGAGAGCACTGGTACCTGGGTAGTATCTTGGAAAACCACAAAACACGAAAAAGTCATACCCTGAGCTGATCGGCCAATTCCTCGGGCGACGTCACATTTTTCCTCATCAGCTCTTCGGTGTGATAGAGGATATCCTTTTCTAGCACCGCCGCTTTCTTGGCTTCATTCTAAAACTATTCTTCTAGAAACTTAACTTTTTAAAAGACCTCTATCTCCGAGTCCCGCTCGATATTGTAAAAAATCACTCCACCCAGCAACGCCAAACCGATCAGCAGCCCGGAGATGAAAAAGTGCTAAAATTACCGAACTTTGTGCATGTTAAGACGGCATACCCTTAGGCCGAGAATTCGCCACCAGAAAAAGAGCCCATATCTTCTGGCCTTCGGGGGCGGACTCCAGATACTGTAGTTATAATGATATGCAAGTATCTAGGTAATTACTGACTCTTGTGGTAGACCAAACGCTTCAGATTCTTCATTTCTGAGATTGCATTCCACCGACTCGGGTGCGATTTTCACGCGGCCCATTCTGAAAAGGGCTTAAAATGCAGTTAGAAATTAGGAGAATATTAAAAAGAGAATTAATTGAACCCTGGTTGAGTTTTAGGGAGCGAGTCTCGGGATACCTTAACTCGCCCTGGAAAGCGGAGCATCTGATAATCTATCGCGCGCGCTGTTGTCAAGACCCGCGCCGATGTTACCGGCTTTATTGGCCATTCCGGCGCGCCGTGCTATTCTTCTGGGGTGAATCGAGTAGAACGTCACAATTCCGCTTCTCTCGCCCCTCTTTTTGGTAACCCCTGCCGGACGATTCGACCGCTCAACAATCGGCCCGACCATTTTTGTGAGGCGCAGCTCAAGCGATGAGCTTTCCCGGGCCCATTATTTCTTTGGCACCTCTACGTCTTATCCGCTGTCTCGCTGGCACCTGAATCACGGCTTGTTCAGACGTTCTGATTTTATAGGCAACACGAATTTTTTGGGGGCCCGTGAAGGGGAGCATCGGGTCAAAATTCCAAAAATTTCTACTGCGGCCGCCTGGGCTTTGGGCTTTGGGGTTGGACTTTGGTGCTGTTTCAACTTTAAATTACCGGGAAGTTTGAAATCTCGCTCGTCTTTGACAGGGTCGATCTTGTAAATCCCTAAGTAATCACCCTTACGACAGTTTCAACGGGAAGAGCTCTAACTTATTACGCAACTTTCTGAAAGCCTCTAATGAGGTCAGAAATCAGGCTTTGGAGTTTCGGCAGGCTTCATCATGACTTCACTGCTTTGGTATAGTCATATTCCCGAAGGTGTGAACACCTAGAAAGATGGCCCTGGCCTGGGGAAGCTTTGGCTCTGCTCTTGCTTCGATGAGCGTCGAGTACCTCATCAAGCCATCAAAGCCACTTCAATTCCAAACTTTGTGATGAGACTAGAAGTCTCATTTCTTACAACTTCATGTCTCACAATGCCTATCTTTTCAAAGCATCCCCTTTCTATACAATACCGTGACGCACCCCACGTTGTTGTGACCGTGACCCCGTTTCGCGTGTTGGCGATGAGCAATATTTAGACAACAGCATCAGGCCAATTCGCGGTCTCTGTCTGAAATTATTCGCCAAAACACCCCTTATCACGGCACTTCCGGTCATCCGGTTATTTTTGGGGATTGCGGAGACCAAAAACGGGTGAGGCTGAAGGGATAAAAGGGGGAATTCAAATTTGGGCTCGTTTTCAGGCGCACCGGTCTAGATAATAAGACCTGCTTGTGGGTACCTCATTGTTTTTCGTGTCATTACATAGACCCCACTCTGTCTTATCGCTTCGTGGAAAGGTGACCCAGAAAGTCCGTTTTTTACGCCAGTTAGGCCACTTGTTTTGCATTGGGCGTAGCTGGAGCGAAAACAAGTTTGCTCGCACGTTTCGGCCCCGCCCGCCGAATCTCTTGTTATTTGATCGGAAATCCAATTTTCGGTCTTTCCGGGTCTTTTATTGAATAGGTTTTTGAAGATTGATAGGAGTTCTTCATTGTTAATAGAGGATTTACTTCTCTGTTACGTTATGTCCTTTTCACCCACCGCAAAGCGAACTATTCCTCTATCGAAAAATTACATGCCCCTTGAAAGGAATGCGTGAAATTCCCGAACTTCTAGTAGCTATTTCCGTCCCCCACGCCGGTGCTTATCACTTTGTGCTTTGTAGTCGATCGTATCCTCCGATAAATGGCATGATTTGGCAACATGAAAGTTACAAAAATGGACCAACTTACGAATTTACGAAACTCGAGTGAAATCGTAATTTTGAAAATCATTTTGCAATTCCCAATTCAGCACAATTTTAATGTTCTGACTCAAGAACTCCAATAACCCATCAAACCATCAAAATATTTGTTATTTCGGGAATCCCGGGATCTCCCCAAAACCGGTTTTGCATCAGCAACACGCTATTTCTGGGCTCAGGAATTTCCGATTTTAGAGGGTAGTCGATGGGGACCGGACGAATAACAAGGTGACGGCCGGATCGCACGACTTTCGTCAGCCGCGTTTTTTCGAAAGATATCAGAATGATGGGTCAATGCGTTGGGTGAAGCGCTATAAGAGCTGCTTTGGGTTCCCGATCGCTGCTAAACTTTACGGCAGCTTTACGTTACGATTCAGCACTAAAGATATAGAAAATATCTGGAAAAGCTTTGCGCGTAGGATTTGTGCGTGCTGCTAAACGTTCCTGGGCTTCCAGCACTACGTTAGGCTACGCTACGAACCCGGTGCGCTCGATGGAGAATAGCGTGGCCAAGTCCCTGACCGCGCTATCCTGCTTTACAACAAAAATTTATCTAGAGTTTCGCTCGAAATCATCTCCAAATTTTTACTTCTAAAAGACCTCTAACAAGGCTTGCCTATCCATTTAACGCAGTCTTACGATCGGACGGTATCCAAACTCTGACAATATGATGTTTTCTTGTCAAAGTTTGGATGCCGTTCGCCCGTACGGCTGCGCTAAAGGGATATGTAAGCCTAGTTTAGCGTCTGCATGTCTTCTAGGTATCTTCTCCAATTTTCGCACCCAAAAGGCTTCTTGGACGATTTACCCACTCTTCCAATTGATCACCACTTCGTCTCCTCCCTCCGGTACTTAGGCACCACACCTGGTGTACCCACCAGGGCGAGTCCGGTCATGTCCCGGACAGACATGTCCGTGTCCCGAGGGCACCGGTGGTTATGTCACGTGACCCAGTGTGGACCGGGGTGACGTGAGATTGCATCAGTCCCACCCATCCCTCTCTCCACCCTCTCGCTCTGCGGTGATCTCTCGCCCTTGCCCCCCTCTTTTTGTCGGTTCCTCAAAAACAGACACGGCGGACATACGGCGAACGCGGCACGCCTCTATACATTACAGCCATAGTCACAGAGCCGTTGCCACACACTGCTAGCCAGTCGCAACCGGGCGCTGGACCAAACTGCAGTGTTTTTTTTCAAGGTTTTTTCTAATTTTTCTTTAAATGGGGGAGGTTATTTTCTTATTCCTGTTACGTAGTAATATCCTAGTAGAGAGAAAAATCTTTTATGATATCTTTTTGAATAGTTAGCCTTTTGGTTCTTTCGCATTACCGGGGGGGGACCAACTTTTTTTCTTAGAATCGAATTTTTCAAACATAAGTAGTGGAAGTGGGTCTAAGTGGTGTTTTACTATAGCTAAACGTGAAAATTTTCCAGATGTGTATTGTAACATATCAAGATCGATTTTTCCACCGAAAATGGCCGATTTTTTACCAAAATTTCGACTGTTTAAAAAGTTTTTAGATAGTTTTCTAGTTGAAATTAAGTTGGATATCACTAAAAAAACTGCTAAAACACTTTCTATCAAGTTACTGGGGATTTCTAGACTTATAGAAAAAGTTCGACCCCCCCGATAATGCGCAAGAACCAACCTGCATACCTTTCGCTTACCCTTTCTCTCTAGATCAACATAACTATTTTATTACTTCGATTCTTTTTTTTTCTATTAAAAAACCCTATTTCGCTTTGGGTTTTTGAAGCACCCAACTTCCGGCGTTACCCATTTCCAACACAAATTCCTTCCCCCTGCCATCCTCCGACCCCCCAAGGGATTTCCACCAACCCCAACCCCGTGCCCATACAAATTGAAAAAAATGGCCAAAGCCTCCTCTCACTAATTGTTTTCGAGGACCACTACCTTCTCCTCCCGGCCGCTGGCTGGAACGCCAGGTCGTCAAGTTTTTTGCGGCGCCAAATTTTCCCGGGGAGGAGAAGCTGTGCGCAGGGTGGAGAGCCCTGTGCAAACAGTTCAACAGACGGGTTCGGTCAACAAAACGAACTGCTGCTGCTTCGTGGTTGGGTCAGTCGGCGCAACCAACATGTGACCACTTCATTTAGGGCCGTTGCGCCTATTTTTGAGCTTAACAAATTGAATGGGAGCATGGGAGCAGCGAGGTTTGAGCAACAGCGCTTTCTCGTTGTTGCTCAAACAGCGTGGTTCTTCCGGCATAACAGCGAATGAACGCATTTTCTGGACATGGAAAATGTTGTCCGTAGCGTTGAGCGAAGCCCAAAAACGTCGCAATTGCTGTCTTGTTGGCGGAAACTTCGTAACCATGAGGTCACAAGTCCAAAGCGCCAAAACGGCTCGCCCCAGCCGTCGATCAACCAGCTCCCGCCCCTCTGGGCCGGTTCCACCCCTTCACTTGCTCACTCTCACCACGTGGGGGGCTGCTACACAATGATACCATCCATACAACGACTTCCCATTGACAGTGATAGCTATCGGATTGGGATTATGATTCTGCGCACAGGCGCTTCTCTTTGGAAAACTTGGTTGCTAAAAAATGAGATACTTGCGCTGAATCGTCATGCGCTCGCGCCCATAGGAGTACCACATTGTCCTATTCGGCTACGTTGGGCTCCTCAGTAACTGCGCACCATCTGCGCCTTCAACAATTTCTGATCTGGAACTGATTTTTACATGGACAGCGCATTGAAACTACCACATTAATCTAGTTTTCTACTTAATTTTCTCAATAACCCAGCCGATCGTTTAAAGGCATCTCTCACCTCCTTTCAAGCCTCGCAATCATTTTCTTTCCCCCCTTTTTACTTCCTGCTCATTGTGCACACGAGGAAATTCGGCACTCGTCACCCGGCTGCCCCTTCATCCTCCCTCGAGGTGCAGTTCTTGCTCAAAGCGCGGAGCCGCGTGTGCGGATCGCCTTTCACTGTTCCCGCCGTTGTCGGGTTTTTGGCGCATTTGCTTTTCCTCATCCCACACATTCCGCTCCGCCAAAATGCCCTTTCACCCGCCGGCTGGGTGGACCTTTTTGTTTTCGTCGAGTCACTGGCCTTGGGCCTCTACGATTGTCTACCCACGTGGCGGGTTTGTTTGCGTCTTTTTGCAAAAATGGATGTTCCGTTGTAATCTGTCTCTTTGTCTTATCCGCATAGAGTAGAAGGCTACAGTTAACTTTTCCACAGTTCTTGAAAACTTGCACCCTTTTCTCTTTCTCTGATTCCTACCCTACGTTTCTTCTT